GAGTGTGATTCCACAGCCTTACTTATGGTCCACGGAGAACCACCAGGACCAACTCCTGAGCATGGAGCTGACTGGGAGTAGACCAGGTGTGACCAGCTGACTGGGAGTACTTCCAGGTGTGACCCCACCCAAAACAAACAAACAAACAAAATCGTTTGATAAATACTGTGACAGGTGCCTGGAGGCAGCACAGGAGCACACACCTGGCATGTGCCCATCTCAGGTTTGATTCCCTCTGCCACATGGTCCCTGAGCCCTGGAGATCCCCAGCACTGCACAGCCCAAGCAGCAGCCCTTGCTCAGGCCCTTGCATCAAACCTTCAGTCTTTAAAACCTCATGGGAAGGGGGGCGTTCCGGCCCGTTCCTCACTCCCTACCGAGGCCACCAGTTGCCTCCCATGAGTGGCTCTCCGGCACGGCCACGGCCCCAGAAGCACAAGGACTTAATGCAGAACCCGGCAGCTTGGAGCAGAAAAGTGAACGGACTATGCGTTAATCCAGGCCATCATGCCTGCCCGGAGGGGAAAGGGTGTTGCTCCCTTCCGCCCTCCTCCCTCTGGAAAGAAAGATGGCGGCCGCATGGGAGCCTTGTGGACAGCAGGTATGAGCCGGGGATGTGGGGGCGACCAAAACCTCATGGGAAGGGGAGCGTTTCGGCCCGTCCTTTACACCCCACCGAGGTCACCAGTTGCCCCCCACGAGCGGCTCTCCGGCACGAACACGGCCCCAGAGAACAGAAACCAACCTCTTAATTATCTGACTTTCAGTAGAAATACTTCCAGGGTTAATAAGTAAAATAGCAGAAATCCAAAACCAAATCCAAAAATTAAACAACATTTAATTATTGAACCCAGCTGTAGAAAGCAAATCATTTCACAATGCTTTTTCAGCATGCCTGATTTGGGGGGGGGGGGGGGGTGTAAACTCTTAATAATAATGGTGCATCTTTTATCGAAACAATGAATCTAGTCAAAGTAGATAGAGTGTTAACTAGAATTCATCTGCCTCACAGGCATTGGGAGGGGTGGGAGGTGGGGTTTTATTGGGGTTCTTCGTGGTAAAAAATAAGTATTGGTAAAGGGAAATGTGTTTGATATTTACATGACTGAGACCTAAACCTGAAAGTTTTGTAACTTTTCCCACAGTGATTCAATAAATAATAAATTAAAAAAAAAAACCTCCAGTCTGGTTGGCCTAGAATCACAGATCACTCCCTCCCCCAGGGAAACAACACTGTTTACACAGTTAGAAGGGCTGCTGAAATGGGACTTCACAGCCTGCAGTGACTCCGTGGTGCTCTGAAAGAATCATCACCCTCTGATTCATAAAGATACACTCAGCGAACACAGGAACCGAGAGACAGGCACACGAACAATTTAGCACTGAGAGACTGTTGTGTTTATTTCTGCACAAAGGAAATAAAGAGCCGCTGGCTGGCTTCCAGCACTAGTGATGAGAGTATGTTTACTGACCTATTGATCTTACTACTTGTCAGACCTGTTCTTGTTAACACCGGGCGGTGCTCAGGGCTTACTCCTGGCTCTGTGCTCAAGGATCATTCCAGGCAGGACTCTTGGCCCATTTTTTTCCTTTCTTTCCTAAAATCCACCCAGATCCTCCATCTTCCAGTAGGCAGGGGTCACACCCACCATCTGACCCTCAGCACTGTGTAATCCCATCAATGGCCAAGACCCAGAGACTATAAAACCCAGCTCCCGGAAGAGAACAGCACAGAGTCTCCTGTCCCTGCGCCTGGCTATCCTCATTGGGGCCCCTTGGAGGGAGTGGGTTGAGTTTCCCTCCCCGTCCCAAACAGAGCTCCGGCAGTCAAAGATCTCCAGAACCAGCCACCACCATGCTGAGACCACTCTCCACACGTGTGAAGGTACCGACAGGAACAAAGGCATGTAGGTCCCAGGGCTGAGATCTCCAAGCCTGCTCGGATTGGGGCTGAGCATCCTCCACCCAGAACCTCCATCTTCCAGTAGGCAGGGGTCACACCCACCATCTGACCTCCAGCGCCGTGTAATCCTATCAACAGCCAAGACCCAGAGACTATAAAATCCAGCTCCTGGAAGCTGGGACATCTTATTCTCTCATTCTTACTTTGGACAACCTGGCAGGTTACTGAGTGTTACCTGCCCGCACGGCAGAGTCTGGCAAACTCCCCGTGGGATACCCAATATGCCAAATACCAGTAACAATGATGGGTCTTATTCTCCTAACCCTGGAAGAGCCTTGAATATGGCACTTTTTAAAATCTCAGGGCTAGGACGAAGGAGACGTTACTGGGGCCTGCTCAAGGCAATTGACAAATAACAGGATGATCGTGATCGTAAACATCTAAAATTTAGATGGAGAAAGCTGGGCTGAGAGAGTAAATTCCAAAGGTGGTAGCATCAATGACTTTTCAAGCCCAGAGGTATAGTTCACCATATACTATATAGATGAGCATTCATTTGGGAGAATAATTTTAGCACATGCAGGTGACAGCCCACTGCATGCTAGAAAGCATTTGCGTGTTATCACAGATTATCTCTGAAACACAAAACCGCTGATCCAGTTTACATGTTTTACAGTACAAGGTGACTCACCATGTGAATGTATGGTTTAAAGATGCTCAGAGTGGGGCTGGAGCAATAGCACAGCGGGTAGGGTGTTTTTGCCTTGCACACGGCTGACCCAGGTTCGATTCCCAGCATCCCATATGGTCCCCTGAGCACCGCCAGGAGTAATTTCTGAGTGCAGAGCCAGGAGTAACTCTTGTGCCTTGCTGGGTGTGACCCAAAAAAGAAAAAAAAAAGACGCTTAGAGTTAACCCAAGCTTCTCTCTTAGTTGAATCCCCAACCTGGACCCCAAACTTACAGAGAAAGGGATCTTCTGAAGCTACACAGTCGCAGCTACAGAGAGACAAACTAGACTCTGGGAATCCCTCAGCACCGCCAGAACTGGGCCACAAAGGGCTGGTTGCTGGGCCCTCGGTGAGTATCACACCAGCCCTGTTCCCACGCTAGTAATCCATGCAGCGTCCCTGCTCAGCAGACAGTGCTGGGAAACCATGGGAAATTCTTAACCATTTTAAAACAAAGAACTCACATTTTCATTTTGCAGTGGGACCGCAGATTATGGAGGTAGTCCTGGCCTAAAGCCATTCGGATTTTTCTTTTTTTAGGTGGGGGAGCCACATCTGTCTCTTATATTCAGGGTCACACCTGGCTCTGTGCTCAGGGACTGCCCCTGCCCGCAGGGCAGATGCACTGCCAGGGTTCAAATTGGAGTTGTGGAGGCAGCTGCAGAACACCTTAGCCTTTGTTCTCTCTCTCCAGCCCCCCTTGGCATTTGGCTCCTCTGGCAAACAGGAATGACAGTTTCCCTTGGTCAGGCCTGAGCAGTTGCAGTGAGCAGCGAGAAATACTCCCGTCTGCTCCCCTGGAGTTTTTCCTGGAATAACCCTCAACAGGGCTCCCTGTAACTTTCAGGAACCTGGCTGGGCCCCATCAAGGAGTCCCGCTTGAGTGGCCCTGGCCTCCATATGTGTCCAGGTTGGGGTGGAACTCTGCCGGGTTCCAGAGGGGCATGTGAAAGGTTCCTGCTCCACCCCCTCAGAGATGGCCTGTGCCCCGGAGCTTCTCTTCCCAAAATGCGGGTGAGTAGGGCCACAGATGAGCGAACATGGCCCACAGGGTGGGGGAAGGAGAAAGAAACCTCCAGGTGGAGAGTTTCCAGGCCTGGGAGCTACCTCGATGCACCGGATGCCATGTTCTCTCCCTGGCACCTCATGGTCCCTCAAGTGCAGCTGTGTGTGGCCCCAAACAGGAAGTGAATGTCACGGCTGAAGAGATGGTTCAGGGGTTAAGGTGCTTGACTTGCACGTAGCTGCCCCAGGTTCGAATCTCCATCACCACACCAGAAATGCCACCAGAGCATTCTCCTGAGCATCAGTGGAGGCAGCCCCAAAAGTAACGCCGCAAAAGTGAATTCTACCACTAATTGCTTACCCACCTAAGCCTCAGTTTACCCGCCTGTGAAAGGGCGGCGCAGGGCAGGCGTCTGCCAGCCCAGGCTCTCCCAGAGCACAGTGTGTGGAAGGCAGTGCAGGGCTCCTGGAGCTGAGCTCTGCTATGTTGTTTGGGGTTTGGGTTTGGGTTTGGGGGCGCCCCTGGAGTTCTTGCGGAACCGTGTGGTGTAGAGGAATTGAGGATATAGGGGGATCTCCTGCATGCAAAGTAAGTGCTCAGCGCCTGCAGTGCTGTGGTAATTTTAGCATGTGGAGGTGAAAGCCCACTGCATGCTGGAAAGCATTTGCCTGTTACCACAGATTATCCCCAAAACACAGAACCCCTGATCTGGTTTACATATTTCACAGTGCATATTTTGCCAGGGCTGGAGCGATAGCACAGCGGGTGTGGCATTTGCTTGTAACCCTGGGTTCGATTCCCAGAGTAATTCCTGAATGCAAAGCCAGGAGTAACCCCTGAGCATCCCCGGGTGTGACCCAAAAAGCAAAAAAAAAAAAAAAAAAAAAAGTGATTCACCATATATGGCTTAAAGATACCCAAAGTTAACTAACCCAGGCTTTTTCTCTTAGTTGAATCTCCATCTCTAGTCTGAACCCCAGACTTACAAAAAAGGGCTCCGTGGCCCTTGGCAATTACTACGAAAAGCGAAAAGCGACTCTTTGTCGCCTGGGCCATTGGCTCCTGCTAACGGGCTGCCTCTACCCCCTCTCCCCAGAAGCGGTCACCAGCACTCCCAGCCCCAGAGGGCTTGCTGGCAGTGGGGGGAGCCCTTGAAGGCAGTTCCTAGCTTGCAGCAAGAGCCCCCTCTGCCCTCCCTCCCTTCCCCTCTGCCTCCTGCACCCCGCAGGAGCTGGGCTGCTGTGCGTGGGCGGGCCCGGCCCTGGCCCGCCCCGGCCGGGCTCCCGGGTGGGGGCTCCAGCCTATGGCTCGGTGGAAGCTCCGAGTTCTTGGGGGGCGGGGGCGGGTGAAAGGCTCATTGATGCAGCCCTCGGCGGCGGCGGCGCGCGGCGGAGACCGACCCTGAGAGCCTCCTGCTCGCGCTGCTGCCCTCGCGCCCCGGTCCCCGGCCATGCGCCCCCCACGGCCCGCCGCCCCCGGCCCGGCCCGGCCCGCTGGCCTCGCACTGCTGCTGCAACTCCTGCTGCTGCTGCTGCTGCAGCCACAGCTGCCGGCCGGCGCCCCCGACATGCCCAAGGCGAAACCCAAGGCGGTGATCCGGCAGCGGGAGGTGGTGGACCTGGTGAGTCCCGGGCTGGGCGCGGGGGGCCGGGTACCGGTGGAGGGCACGGGGCGCTGCCGAGTGCACCCTCGCTTTGTCCGGCTCTGCGAGGGAGGAAGGGGAGCTGAGGGCAAGAGGCACCCGCGGAGGGGACCCCAGGATGACAGGAGGCATGCAGCAGAGGAGGCGAGGTTAGGTGGGACGCCTCCACTCCCCCCTTCCCCCAAGGATAGGGATGTAGACTCCCCCCTCCTTGCCCCCGAGGTTGGAGGGGTAGGAGAGCAGGACGGGGCGCTTGGGTAGGTTAAACAATGGGCCCAGGAGCTCCCAGGGACCCCGACCCCGCTGCCCGCGGGAGGACTGGGGGTCACGAGCAACGTGTCCCGTTGGGGCCGCTGCCACGTCTGCCTGCAGGAGGGATGAAGAACCGCCCTGGCCACTCTCTAGCCAACTCCTTGAAACTTAAGAGCGTGAGTCATGCTGGGTCATCTTCCGAGGGACTGGGGGCTGCAATTTTCTCTGGACCACAGCTGGGGCCAGGAGGGGTTCAGAGAGCTGCAGGGGGAAGGAAGGGCCCCCAGCTCGGGTGCCAGTGTGTTGTTAGAGAGGGGTAGGGGTCTTACTGACATTCGGCTCCTGGAGCCGTGGCCACCAGGTAGCACTAGACAGTATCCAGGAGCCCCAACACGGTCGCCCCTTGGTACTTTCTAGGAGCGGCCACCCAGAAGTCTTGCCTGTAGGGCTTACGTGGGGCCCCATGCAGGGGGCTGGAGCAATAGTACAGAGGGTATGGCGTTTGCCTTGCACCCTGCTGACCTGGGTTTGATTCCCAGCATCCCATGCATTGCCCCGAACACTTCCAGGGATAATTCCTGAGTGCAGAGCCAGGAGTAACCCCTGAACATCGCTGGTGTGACCCGAAAAGCTAAAAAAAAAAAAAGGCAGAGGAGGGAGCATGCAACTCCATTGGTCACTGCAAGTTTCAACTCCCAAACCAATCTTCGCAGACAAATGTGGTTTCTAGGCTTATCTGGGCATTTCAAATGGGGAGGGTTTTTTTTTTTGGTATTAAAAGCTGTTTGGGTGGCAGGGGCAATAAATAGCCCAACAGGTAGCACTTACCTTGCACAAGACCACCCTCAGGTCGATCCCCAGCACCCCATAGGATCCCCCAAGCCTGCCAGGACTCGTTCCAGAGTGCAGCCAGGAGTAATCCCTAAGCCCGGCCCAAATGCTAACAAGGAAAGTATTTCAAAAATACCGTTTTGAATTTAAGCTTGCCTGTTGTAAACTAAGCTAACAAACCAAGAAACACTCCACCCCCTTTTCTGGAAACTGGTTCTATGCCTAATTTTTTTAATTCTGTGGAGGAAAAACATTCTTGACCCATTTTACATGACACTTTGTTGGGGAGCGGGTGGGGGGGTGATGGGTGTGGGGGGCAAGAGAAAGAGGTTACTGTCGTTTTGCTTCATAAAGCAGAAAGTTCAAGGCTTAGTTTCTACTTTGGGTTGTTTTGAAAAGCTTTACCATGCGAGCACGAGTCTTATGAATCTGTCATTCTGATCCAGAAAACAGCCCTTTCTCCCTACAGCCAGCCCCTTTCTCCCTCTCCCTCCAGGGATTTAGAGTAGCTGCGGTTTCCCACAACTCTAGTCCCATTTGGAAGTAGCCAGGATCAGGTGCATCCTGGAGGTTGGATTTTGGTTTTGCCTGAAGGAAAAAAGTCCCCAGAATCATTAAGAAAGTTTACAGATTGTATGAAGGAGCTTTTTGTACAGGAGCGATCAAAGCGCGGCTTTCAGCTTCCAGCGAGCTCTGCCCCCTGCTGGTGAGTGAGAGAAACAGCGTTCCTTCCGCAGTCACAAAAAATTTTGGCTTTTTTGCTTGTGCGTGCAGGCTTAGTAATTTAAAAGTGAAAGAAGACAGAAGTAATTATATCTGTGGATTCAAACTAGATAAATTTCTGTGGACTGGGAAATGTGGATTAGATAGGAAGGGTGAATAGAAATCCTCCACCATGAAATTATTGACACTGAGGGATGGTGTCTTGGGGGTTTTACTTGGCAGTGTTCCGGGGTTACTCCAAACTCATTGCTTGGAGATCACTCAGGGCAGTACTCACAGGCCATGCAGTGTCAGAGGTCAAATCCCAGGATCTTCTGCACGCACAGCCTGCGCTCCAGCCCATTTGAACTCTGTCTGCTGCCTTACAGACGTTGGGGGTTAATAACCCTTTGTTGCAGGCCTGTGCTGTGTGTGGTGTGTCCAGAAACTGAATTGGCCACTACTCACTAGATACCAATAGCAATCTATCCTTCCCGACTGCAGCATCTGAAATGTCTTCAGACATTGCCAAGTGTCCTCTGGCCAACAACATCTTTCCTGGTTGAAAATGACGAATATATGGAGAACAAAAACTTGGTGTTACACCTGGTCCTGAAGGAATATACAAATAAACCCAGAAATCTTATCATTTCTGCCTTCCAACAATGCCTGTTGCTAAGAGGGGAAATGATGGAAATCCTTAAAATGGAATTCTAGTCTCCAGCTCTTTCAGGATATTTTATATTTTCAGCATGTTTACAATGCCATTAATTTCATTGTTTTTGTTTTGGAGGCCTTATCTGGTGATACTCAGGTTTTACTACGACTCTGTTGTCAGGAATCACTCTGGGGTGTACATGGTACCAGGAATTGAACCCAAGTGGGTCACACACAAGGACTTCCCTGCTGTTCTATCTCTCTGCCCCTAAAGCTGTTAATGTCTCTGTTTCTGCAGCAGCAAATAAATAGTGATGTCTTGAAAGCTATTTCATTTTATGTTGCTTTTCATACACTTGGCACATCATCATTGTCAAAATTGCATGTCATGCTTCCAAACAAAGATCAAGTCAGCACTATGAGGAGCAGATGGATCATTATGCATAGGTCTAGAAGGGGCCTTCTTAGGAAGTGTCATTACGAAATTTTATAATATGACCATGTTTATGCAAAACTGGCCCAATTAAAAGATAAACTTAGGGGCAGGAGCAATAGTACAGTGGTTAGAGCATTTGCCTTGCATGTGAGTTAGATCCTTGGCACCCAATCTGGTCCCCCGAGCCTTGTCAGGATTGATTCCCTGAGTGCAGAACCAGGAGAAGCCCTGAGCACTGCTGAGTGTGGCCCCCAAAACAAAGTAAACAAATAAATGAGAAATTTTAGTCTACAAGGAATCTTGGTAGTTTTGCTGTTGTGACTGTTGTTCTCTTAGATAATATGTTTATATAGAATGATAACATTGCAAAATTTACACTAGTAGAGAAGTGTCAAAGCAAAACTTGAAGTGAATTGAGTACACTTGTCCAGAAGCAATAAGAATGACCATGGCTGGGGCTGGAGAGATAGTACAGGGGTTTAGGTGATTTCCTTGCACTTGGCTGACCCTAGTTCAAATCTCTGGTACCATCTTTTGTGTCCTGAGCCAGCAGTAGTATCTGAATACCTAAACCCTCCTCTTTTTCTCTCATCCAAGAAAAGAATGATCCTGGCTAACGTGTCTCCTCTTTCCTGGGAGCCAGAAACATTTCACTGTATTTTGTTGTTTGTTTGGGGGTTGCATCCAGCTGTTCTCAGATTTATTGCTGATGGTGCTCAGGGGACCTATATAGGTGGTGCTGGAGGTGAAACCCAGACCAGCTACGTGCAAAGCAAGCACTTTACCTGCTATATTATGTTTCTGGCCCCATATTTTATATATTATTTCACTCGTGCTCACACGGACCCTATAAGGGAAGACTGTCGATAACTTCCCCCATTTTACAGAGGTAGTACCAGGCACCAGAAGGAACGTGTGGAACGTGTACAATCTCACGTGTTGGCTGGATGGACTTAAAACTCCAGAAACCATGCTTTAGAGAACCCAACTTCTATAAATAATACTACTGTCCCTATTCAAAAAGCACCCCTCCCCCCCCCCCCAAAAAAACAACAAGAGAATCTGAGCATACAGATGTTTGATGGGTTCCTGCCCCTTAGCTAAGGCCTTTGGTGAGCTGCTCCAAGCCTGTTCCTCCTGTTCTGTAGGGGGTGCTAGAGGACAGAAGTGTGACCCTCAGGACTGATCCCCACATAAAGACCAGGGGAGGTAAAGGTAAAAAAAAGGTAAAGGCCCTCCCGTTGATCGTCGATTTGCTCGAGGGGGCCCAGTAACGTCTCCATTGGAGACTTTGTTGTTACTGTGTCTGGCATATCGAATACTCTCGGTAGCTTGCCGGGCTCTCCGAGAGGGGCGGAGGAATTGAACTCGGGTCGGCCATGTTGGCCACTTGTAAGGCAAAAGCCCTACCCACTGTGCTATCGCTCCCGGCTGGGGCAATAGCACAGCGATAGGGCATTTGCCTTGCACGCAGGGAGACCTTGCTATAAACACTTTGGACCTCGAGGTATCACCTTGGACCTCGAGGGTTCAAAAGAAAAAGCAATATATTAAACTGTACCCTCCTTGGAATTTGAAATGTGTGTGTGCTTTTAATGAGCACTTCAAAAGGGCAGCAAATGAGAGCATTGTCTTCGTGTGTATGTGTGGGGGGGTGTCTGTGGTGTATGTGTGTATGTGTCAGGGGGGATGTCTGTGGAGTGTGTGTCTGGGGGGTGTGTGTGTATCTGTGGTGTGTGTGTGTGTGTGTGTGTGTGTTTAAAGCCTGTGGGATATAAACAAACAAAGCAAGGTCCTAGACAATGTCCAGCAAAAACAAACTCTTTGAATCTGACCACAGACCTGAGCTTACTAAGGGGTAGGAAAGACAAGAATGGATCTAGGGACAATGGTCAGTGGTGGCAGGATGTCAGAGTTTCAGGGGTAGGTGTGGTGCAGTAACACTGGATGCCTAAACCATCAACATTAATGCTGTGACATACCACGGTACCTCAGTAACAATGTAAAGATCAAATAAAAAAATGAAGCCTGTGTAAGAAAAGATCAGAAAAAGAAATGTCAATACTTTCAAAATCATTTAAAAATCAATTCCCTAGCAGCAGGGGATGTGGATCTGTAGTTGAGCACCTGCATTGCCTCAGTGATTTTCTTCATTGCCCGAAAAAAATCAGATCCCCAACAGTGACTCAGTGAGGATTCTGGCCCCCAGCGGCTCCAAAGCAATGTAGCTCTGGACTGAGACATATATAGTACAGGGTTGAAGGTGCTTGTCTTCCATGGAGTTGAGCCAGGCTGGAAGCCCAGTACCAGCCATGGTTCTCTGAGCCCTGCCAGGAGCGATCCCCCAGCACAGAGTCTTAAGTGCTACTGGGTGTGGCCTCCACAGCAAACCAAGAAAGGCAGTGCTCACCAGAGTGTGGCTCATCTTCGCTTTTCTCTATGACAGTACAACGGGATGTGTTTGCAAGGGCCTGCTGGCGTGCCGGGTCGGGACGGGAGCCCTGGGGCCAACGGCATTCCTGGCACCCCTGGGATTCCAGGGCGGGATGGATCCAAAGGAGAGAAGGGAGAATGCCTGAGGGAGACCTTTGAGGAGTCCTGGAGCCCCAACTACAAGCAGTGTTCCTGGAGCTCGCTGAATTACGGCATCGATCTCGGGAAAATTGCGGTGAGTCGGGCCTGGATGTTGCTGGGGGTTAAGCAGGGGAGGGTTTCATCATGGGGGGGATGGGAATTTAACTTTGTTTATATATTTACTTATGACCTAAAACTTTTTCCAAAATGAAGAGGTGGGGGATGTGGCAGGGGGAGGGGTGGAGTCCATGTCTTGCCTGCTTTGACCCCAGCCACGGCAACCCTGCACATCCCCAGCACACCCCCACACCCTGGTGGCTCAGGGTGGCCCCTGCAGCAACCACCACCACCACTAACACCACCACCAACAACCCAAATTAAGGGGACTGGAGAGATGGTCCGTTGCCTTGCATGCAGCAGAGTCCAGTTTGCATTTGTCACTATGCAGGGCAGAGGTTGGCGGGGACGAGACACTATAGCAGCTTAACATTACTAACATTGCTAAGTTTAACATTACTAACTTTACTAAGTTTAACATTACTAAGTTGGAGTGGGTTGGATGAGCAATGGTCTGTATTGACCATTCGAAATTATTCTGCAACATTGACAGGAGAAATAACTGAAAAGATGAATGATTCAGTCCTTTGATTAGTACTTGCTTCCCAATTGGCCCAGAGGTTCTCTTGGAAGCCTTTTCCTGTTACCTGGCTTTGGTTGACAGGGTAACTGCCTCCAGGCCACAAGCAGTGATTTTATTTTCCAGAAACTCAAGAGATTTTAAAATTCAATCTTTGTACTATTCTTCCACCCTTTCATCTCTGCTTCATTTGCTTATTTGAAAATGCTTAAGAGGATCCTGAGCAGCTCTCTGTGCACACAGCTGCCGTTGTTCTGTGATTTCTTATGTAATTTCTAGAAAGTATTTTGTTTAAACATTGCCTGTTCCTTCAAATATCCAACGTTAAATCAATATCTATCTATACATATATATCTCTATATACTCACAATTAATTAAAAAGAGGCCCAGAGGTGGGGCTGGAGAGACAGTAGAGCTGGTAGGGCACTTGTCCTGCATGCAGCTGGCTGGGGTTTGATTCTCAGCATCACCAGGAGTAACCCCTGAGCATTGCCAGGTATGGCCCAAAAAACAAAAAGAAAAAAAGGGAGAGAACCAGAGAGATAGTACAGGGGTTAAGATATTTGTCTTGCATGTGGCTATCCCCTAATGCCCAACACTGTATCTGTCCTCTGAACAACACCGGGAGTGATCCCTGAGCGCAGAGCCAGGAGTAACTTCTGAGCACCATTGGGTGTAACCCCAAAACCAGAAAAATAAAATAAACATCTGGTATTGGCAAATTGATTGCTCCAAAGTGGCTGAGTTTTCTCTGAAAGTAATCCTTTCCCTACCAGTAAGAGTATTATAAATCACAGAACTTTTTAGAAAAAGTAAAAAATAAATAATGAAAGTGGTACCTCTTGGTCTGAATTACTAATGTCTTTCAGTTATTTTTAGCAGGGGTCAGAACAGGGTTGGGAGCCTTCTGCAAATAGAAGAGTGTAGAACCATGAAGCAATAAACACATTTCACAAAAACTGGTCAAAGGGAAAGAGCTTAGAAGCGTGTTTCACAGATAACGAGTAAGAACTTTCCCTCTCTGCTGCCCCCCATACTGTTTGCTGTGGCTCATAAGGAAATAAGAAGAAATATACACAGCCTGTACACAGGCTTGTGTCCATGCCAGGGGCCAGAAATTCTGTTTTGTGTATTCAATGTCTTTATGAAATGCTCAGGAACTACTTCTGGAAATAACAGAAAGCAAATAAATAGATTGGCCACAATTGGGATATACTCTCAATGGGAAATCCTAAGAAAGCCACAGCTAAATTTTCTTAGTGTTCCTAGATTCAAAATTATTTAGCTCCCTTGCAAAGCACCTTTCTCCCTCAGTAAAAAGGCCAGCTTTTATAATGTGGTTTGGGCTGGCTTTTCAAGCCTGTATTCTCCCTTGAACATCATACATCTCATGTGTTTGTCTCTATGTTTCTTTGCTTGTTTATCTCCACTCTGGAGATGCCTGTGTTCTCTCTTGAATACACACTTCTCCCTCTCTCTCTTTCCTCACCTCTTTCTAAACAAGTTTCCATAAAGACTCTTGTATCACCATTTCACCTCCTTCTGAAATTCTTTTCTGTGAGGGAAAGGTGATGGACACAAAGACGCGGGGACTGACCAGCTCTAGGTGTGTTGAGTGGAGATGTAGAAACACTCTTTTTCTTGAGTCAACCTCCCGTGTGCCCCATTTTACAGATCCTCGGCAAATGGTCTCCCAAGCCCTGCCAGGAGTAACTCCTGAGTGCAGACCCAGGAGTAGGTCCCAAGCAGTGCCTGGTGTGACCCCAGAACAAAAACAAAACACTGTATGTTCTTTGGGTTGTAGAGAGAGAGAGTAAAATGGTCTGGCCTTCACTCAGATGACGCTAGTTTGATCTCTCACATTGCATATGGTCCCCAAGAGCCACTACAATGATCACAGTGCAAACCAGGTGTGGTTCAAACTCTTCCCTCCTCAAAATAAAAAATGTTATGTAAAATGTGGTTTGGCGAGGGCAAGAGAGATAGCACAGTTTCTCCTGCATGCAACTGACCCAGGGTTGATCCCAGGTACCCCATATGGCCCCCAAGCCCCTCCAGGAGTGATCCCTGATTACAGAGCCAGGAGTAAGCCCTGAGCATAGCTGAGTATGGCAAAAAATCTAATTAATCGTCATCATCATCATCATCATCATAATGTTTGGGGAACATTCTCCACCTCATCTCAACCTGAAATGTGTAATTCCTTTCTTTGACTCAATCTGAGATGTGCTTTTTCCCTCCTGGAGATGTCCGTGTTCCCTTCTGAGCACCCAATCTCTCTCTCTCTTTCATCCTCTTTGTCTAAGTAAGTTTCTCTAAAAACTGTTTGACTTCACTAAGAAATAAACTGTGGTTTGGGGCAAAGAATAATGACAATTTGATTCAAAAGCCTCTTCTTAGAGGAGAATGCTCACTGAGCACTGTGTGTGTGTGTGCTAGGAGTGTACTTTCACGAAGATGCGGTCCAACAGTGCCCTGAGGGTTCTCTTCAGTGGTGCACTGCGCTTAAAATGCAGAAGCGCCTGCTGTCAGCGCTGGTACTTCACATTCAATGGAGCTGAATGTGCAGGGCCGCTTCCCATCGAAGCCATCATTTATCTGGACCAAGGAAGTCCTGAACTGAATTCGACAATTAATATTCATCGCACTTCTTCTGGTAAGTAGACTAGTTATAGAAAGGTCCATAACAATTGGGAGAGATGGTATCGGATATCAGGCCCTTGTCTTCGGTGCCCCAGTTCTTTCCCTGGCAGGGCCATTAGTATTCCTGCCAGGGAATACTCTCTGAGCACTGCCAGGAATGCTCTTTGAGCACAAAGCCAGGAGTAACCCTGGAGCATCCCTAAAACAAAACAGGCCTGTAGCAGGGTTTTCTGCAAATAATTCTCTATTTTGGCTGAACTTCAGAATTTCCTAGAGATCTTTACCAATGAATGCCTGGATTCTATCGCTGAGGAACTGGGTCAGAATCTCTGGGGAGAAGACAACAGCATCTGTATTTTTTTAAAGCTGCCAAGGTTCAAAACCATAGACTTAAATGAAATGCAAAACAGCTAATAATACCATGGAGCAGTGAATTTTCTTCTTCAGTTCATATTGGGGTCATCCAAGTAATCCCCACTGCTGGGTAGTTCATTCTGCTACAGAGAAGCAGGCTAGAATGGACCAGACAGTGGCCAAGCTAGTCAAACCATCCGCAAGTGATTCTACTGTTCCTCCTCCGGGGAGGTCCACCAACTCAAGAGTGCTCAGGAGACCTGTTTCTGGACCTTGTCCTCAAGAAGGGTAGAGATGGTGTGTGAATTTGTGAAAAAGAGAATTTATAGTATGTTCCTGTACTCATTCTATGTACAATGGGGGGAGAGGCATTCAAACTAGGGGTCATAATCAGGGGGAAATTGTTGCTCTTGTTTTATTGTTTTATTTTGTTTTGGGCCCACACACTCAGCAGTGCTCAGGGACTATCCTGGCTCTGTTCTCCGGGACCACTCCTGATGATGCTTCAGGGGCCATGAGTGGTGTCTGGATTTGGATGAAGTTTGCTGACGCCATAGACACATATTAGGAAAGTGGCTTAATCTTTGTACTATCTCTCTGGCCCCTGTTTTGTTCTGTTTAAAGTTTCTCTAAGAAATAAAACTAAACAAAACAAACAAACAAAACTAAGAACATATCAAAAGGTAGAAGGGATAAAAGCCAACTGATTAATGTCCTAACCCCAAGACACCACTATCAAGACTTGACTGCCGCCATATTGGTTTCTTGCTTTTTACTGGGCATGGTCCATTGTGAGAGCATAGACTGGGAGAATCACCACATTGCCTTGATTTCGTGAAGGCATGTCTCACTAATCTTGTACTTACATATGGCAGAGGAAAGAGAGAAGATTTGATTCTGCCACCCCAGCCCATTGCACACTAGAGATCATTGTAAACCAGCAACATGCTTTTGGAGTCCAAGTGATGCACGGAGTCAAAAACTGAATACAACATATTTATCCCAAATAACCAAGGGATCTCTTCCACATCCTTAATTTCCCACTAGATCCTTGAGACAGAGAGTTTAACCCCTTGCAGTGCACATGGAGAAGGCCCAGGGAACTAGAGTCATTACTCAGGAAGGTAGAATCACTGTTGAGGATAATGGAAACCCAAGCCATGTTGTCTTCCCTCAAGACCTCTTCTTTTTATTTATTTTTTAAGTAAAAAACCCTTTTTTTAATTTAACCACAGTAAGCTACACTTACAAAGCTTTCGTGTTTGAGTTTCAGTCATACAATGATTGAACACCCATCCCTTTACCAGTGTACGCTTTCCACCACCAATGTCCCCAGTATTCCTCCCCACTCCCACCCACCCCCTTGCCTCTATTTATGGCAGTTTCCTTCTTACTCCCTCTCTACTTTGGGGCATTATGGTTTGCAATACAGATATTGAGATCTAGGCCTCTCTGGTCATATTTAACAGATCTTTTCACCAAACTCTTAGATATTTATGTAGGAAAAGAAGAGTTTTGTGCCTTTCAGCTGAGAAACAGTCTCTAAAGTAAGAAAAATCTATATACAAAAGAACAGAATTGGATAGGGAGTAATATGTGTTTGGAGAGTGGTTGATAGAAGCAATTTTTGATTGTTATCTTTAAGATGTGAGAGGTGGTATTTCTATCTTGTCATAACATAAAAGTTCTTATGCTCAGGAACACTGACCTATATACGCATAAATTTCATAAATTATTCAGAGAAGCATTTCCCAAACATGGTGTGTTAATTGAGCTGCTGGATGTTGAATGTCAGAAGGAATTTGTTATTCATAACAGCTTTTGATTATGATGAATTAAAACTTGACCCTAGAGTGAAATAACTTTAGCACATTTAAAACATTTTTAAAGTTTTATTTTTACCTGGTGGTGCTCAGAGATTACTCCTGGCTCTGCACTCAGGGTTTACCCCTGGTAGGCTCAAGGGACCTTATGGATTTCCAGGAATCGAACTCTGCAAGCCACATGCAAGACAAATGCCCTATCTTGGCCTCTTAACGTATTTTCTTAAGGGAAAGGAAAAGAGATTTCTGGAGCCAGAGAAATACTACAGAGATTAAGGCACTTGCCTTGCATGCAACAACCCTGGTTCAATCCTTGGCATCACATATGGTCACCTGAGCACCTCCAGGAGTGATCCCTAAGCACAGAGCCAGGAGAAACATTTGAACTCAGTGTGGCAAACATCCCTGCCCCCTTCCCCTGAAAAAAGAAAAGGGATTCCTTTGTGTCAGCACATCAGAAAATGCCATAGGCCTCGACTATACCCATGGGAGTATTAAGGTCATCTTACCACTTGGGTTGAGAAAATTTGATTTGTCTTTGTGTGTGTGTGTGTGTGTGTGTGTGTGTGTGTGTGTGTGTGTGGTGGGGGGAGGCTTATGATTGGGAGCCATACCTGGCAGTGCTTGGGAGTCACTCCCAGGGGCCTAGGGGACCATGATGCAAAGCAAGGGTCTTACCCTCCGGTAAGGCCTTACTCTCCAGTTCATGAATCCATCATATATTAGGTGCTTAGTAATCTGCAATATAATTATATGTGATCACAGCAAAGGTGTTCATTTACTCTTAAGAATTTTATTTTTCTGTATTAGAGACCATGACCAGACCACTGAATTCTCCTTGTGAAGAGTAAACCCTAAGCTACCATTTTGTAGGGTGAAAGGAACAAGTCTCTAGGCCAGCTGAGGGGAGAGCTCACCCGGCGTAACTCCCAGGATACACGTTTGAGAGGGCTGATGAGAACTTTGTTCCTGATGTTCAAAGGGGCCTGAACCAGAGCCAGTTCCCAGAATCCTCGGAACTTGCCTTCGATTCACTGATGCTAATTCCAGCATGGAAAAGCAGGCGGCTTCTGTCCTCCATCCCCAGCCGCTGGAGAGCAGCAGAACTGGGAGGAAAGTGACAATCCCAGGGCACCTGCCTGCCCCACTTCTGTTTGCACTCTCTGTTCCCAAGAACCCGCCAAGCCAACCTGTGCTACCTTTCCCTCCTTATAGACATCAAAGGAGCCCTATCTTCTTGGCCTATCAAAATGACTGCAGGGGGGATATATTTAATCTAGAAGTACCTGTGTAACAGGGAATGCAAGTCGGATGTTAGTATATGAAGTCCAGAAGTCCCAAGAAAAGGTACTCAATACAAAGCAGAACACAGTGAAAAAACAAGGGTTTTTGCTTGTTTTTCCACATTGATGATGTCAAGATGGAAATTTCAGACTTGAAGGCTTGGTATAGTAATCATGCTAGAATTTCTTTTTCTTTTCTTTTGGTTTTTGGGCTTCACCCAGTGATGCGCAGGAATTGCTCTGGGAAGTGCATGGGTAAACATATGGGATGCAGAGGGATCGAACCAGGGTCAGTCATATGCAAGGCAAGCCTAGAATTTAAGTGCTATGAAAGTTCCTTGTTCTACTTAAAAATTATCAAGTATCTAGGTAATCTTATTTACTTTTTGGTTTTGGGCTACACCCAGTGGTGCTCAGGACTTACTTCTGGCTGTGATCAGGGATCACTTCTGGTGGGACTCAGGGGACCATATATGGTGCTGTGAGAATCAAACATGGGTTTGGAGTGTGCAAGGCAAACACTGTCCTGTATCTCTGGCATTTCAGGTAATTTAAAAAAAAAGCGGGGGGGAGGGGACCAGAGTGATAGGACAGCAGATAGGATGCTTGCCTTGCACATGGCCAACCCAGGTTCAATCACTCAGGGATCACACCTGATGGTGCTCAGGGGACCATATGGATTGAACGTGGGTCGGCCACATGTAAGGCAAGTACCCTACCCACTGTACTAAGTCTTAGTTTTTTAAAATATAAGCTTCTTTTGTTCAGAATTAAATTGCTTTTTAAATTTTAGGTTATCCCTTCACCAAATGGATACTGTTTATTAAAGCCCATAAGAAAATTTTCTATTATGCCACAACATACATCTTTTGAAAATCTTTATGAATTAAGTAAAAGAGAACTCTCTATAAAACTGTCACACATGAGCATTTTCAATTCAGAGCCTACTAAACCAATTTCCCATCTAACTTACCTACTAGAGTAAGAAACTTGGCTTCTGCTTTTTATTCTAAAAATAGACCTAACTTCCCCCCTCGTTTTGCAGTGGAAGGACTGTGTGAAGGCATCGGAGCTGGGTTAGTGGATGTTGCTATCTGGGTCGGTACCTGCTCAGATTACCCGAAAGGAGATGCTTCGACGGGCTGGAACTCCGTGTCTCGTATCATCATCGAAGAGCTACCAAAATAAATCCTTTCGTTTTCACCCCACCTCTTTTTTTTTAATCATACCTTTGCAAGGTTCATTTAGTGTGTTATTTTATATCACTTTTATGTATGCATCTGAATGAAAAACAAAGCCAAACCTGTTTACAGACCAGAGTGTGAATCCACACTGTTTTTAAGTCCAGTATTTTTTTTTGGGGGGGGGGAGGGGAATGCGGGGGGAGAAGGGCCTCTGGGGTCACACCTGGCAGTGCTCATGGGTTCTGCCTTGCTCTAATCAAGTGCCCCCTGGCAGTGTTCTGGGAACCATGTATGGTGCTGGGAATCAGAACTGGGGTTGGCAGGATGCAAGGCAAGCACCTGAACTCTCTCTCTGGCCCAGTCTCTTACTTAGCATGTTTCAAAGAAAGCCATCTGTTTTTGTACGATTTGTAAATGGTCAAATTGTTTTTGTATCTGTGAAATAAAACTATTTCAAATAACTTTAAGCTCGTCGCTAAAATTAATAGTACTTCATTCATCCTTGAAAGAGCCTATTTCCATATTTGTTCCGCGGTGACGGTAGCACACCTGTCCTGTGTGCAGCATAGGTTTTGGACCATGGAGCTTTACATGCTATTTCTCCTGGAGTCAGAACACGGGGGTAGGGGCTTCCTTCGCGATTGTACCTAATAACCCGTGTGGATGTAACAGTCTAGTTTGGGGGCCACACTGGCAGTGCTGGGGGCCAGGAGGAACCACGCAGTGTCAGAGGTGGGACTGACCCTGGTCTTCTGCAAAGTGTGTGCTCAGCCTGTTGTGCCCTCTCTGGCCCTATGTGTGGACTTCACCTTCCTGTCCTGGTAATGTCGAGCTCTTACTCCCCAAGCGGGGAATGTTTCCAGCTGAGACTGTTGAAAGTAGAGTGACGCCTGTTGCCTCGGCAAGTCCTCCGCCACACTTAAATAACGCTGTTCAGGACCAGGTTTCTCTTTTGGTCTTGAGTCCTTCCTTCTATTGCTGTTGACTCTATTTTAGACAAACCCCCGAATTCATGATCCTAAATAGGGGTCGAGTTGGTCTGAGTGACACGAATCCTCCCCTAGTTAAAGGGCAGGATCTTAGTGTATACAGAAGACAATGTCTTCTGGATGAGCTTTGGTGACAGGGCCAATTCCAAATGGTTTCAGCCCATTTCAGGGACAGCTCCGGGCCATTCCCATTAAATCACAAAGATTCCCATGCATGCAGTGGACAGGTAGGTGCCATCAGGAAATTCATGCCACTCCTCCAAGATCAGAGAGAAGTGCGAGGCAGCGATCACTCAACATTACTTTCAGATTTTAATTCCTACTTAACTCTTCTAGGAAGACATTGAAGCATTTATGTAACCCAGATTTCCTTATTTTCTGCATGTTATCTAACACACTTTAGTCAACAGCCAGAAAGGTTAAGTAAAACATTTCACAGTGTTTTGTTTCTCTAAGTAGTTCTATAACCATGGAAAAAACCTTGCCATGAAAGTGGTAATATAGAGTTTTATCTGGAAGGTGTTAAATCCCATCAAGTGCCCACATTCAAAAGATCTTCGTGCTCTGATGACTCATGAAACTCAAGGATCTTCAGTGGAGTCCTTTTTTTAGCATAGTGTTGAAGAAACATCACTTTCTAAAACTGTGAGCCCCCAAAAGCATGTACTGAGATGCGATCGGCATCTTCGCCCAAGGCCTGCTCACATTCTGCCATATCCTACCCACCCCAGCCCTGCTTTCTGTTGCTCTTCCTGGACTCTATCTTCATGTCCAACTGAGCTCCATAGACCTGGTTTTGTGAACTTCCCCAACTTTCTATTTCTAGACTTGCAGCACTTCTTTTTTTTGTTTCTTTGGTTTTTTTTGGGGGGGGGGGGGGAGGGGTTCTGGCTACACCCAGTGGTGCTGGGGATTACTCCTGGCTCTGTGATCAGGGAACACTTCTGGTAGGGCTGCGGGACCATAAGTACTAGGTCCACAGGAAAGTAAGTGCGTTAATCCCTGAACGATCTGGCTCCCAAGCTACAGTTCCCTAAAGTTCCTTTATCTGCTGAAATCCAAGGACTTAACTGAAATAAATACTTGCCCTTAGCCTTCCCAGCTAAACCGCTTGCAATGTGCCTTCAGAGGAATAATTCCAATCTATCATCACTGCCGTTCATCTTCATCCCGTATTTGTTGGGTGAGAACCCTCCCTTTCCGAGTTCGCTTTATTTGCCTTCCGGTCACCCCTATGATGCATGGCCATGCTTCTTGGTTCTACTAATTATATTTAATTCACCAAACAAAACTGAGCAAGTTCCGTAACACTCCAAGCATTTAGGCTCAGCTTTCTGCCCTTCACTGGCACCGACTGCTTTAGAAATGCCTTTTATCCATGGCTCCCTCCCTCCAGCTTCCCTCTACAACCGCTTCAAGACCCAGCTGACATGTTTCCACTCTGAAAACCCTGTTCTAGTCACCGTCCCAAGCCGTCAGCGATGTTTCATGAGTTCCCAAGTGCCGCCAGCTTCTGCCTTAACCCTCTCTTCTTCAAGATTCCTAATTGTTTCCAGAGAGCCCCCAGGACCATCTCCAAGGGTTGACCCTGGCCACTGTTTATGGGCCTGGACTCCCAGTTCCCCAGCAGCAGACCTCAGTGGCGCTGTACCCACATGCTGGGTCTCTACTCAACAGGGGCAGAATAGCTAGTTGCTCCGGGCATCCTTAGTGGTCATTCTCTATCCACATCTGGAGGGCACTTGATATGGTCCCCTGAGCCCCACCAGAAGTGATTCCTGAGCACTGCTGGGTGTGGCTCTCCCCAGTCCCAAACAAAACGCAAAAACCCTCTCAGGCTTGAATTGACCCAAGACACGATTTTATGAATGAGAGGCAAAGGGTGGTGGGCAGAGGGGTGAGATCCGTCTAAAGTGAAACAGAAAGAGCAAAGCTGTCCCATGACATCCAGTTAGAGCCTCTTCCTCCCAGGGCTCGGTCCTCCCGTGGGCCTTGCTTCCTCACTTGTAAACATGCTTCTAAGTCGACCTCCCCAAGAGCCTTCCTGCCCCAAACATCCTCACATAGCAAGTCTCCCCACCGCGCGGCTGCATTTCATCCCGACATTCAGCCTACAGTTTGCTGCTGTCCAGCACTCGCCCGGTATCAAGACAGCAATTTCTGCGGGCTGTGTCTTCACCAGCAACAGCTGGGGGCACAGTCAGTGGTGATGGGGAGGGAACAGGGACCTCTCTCCTGGGCCTTGGAGAGCTCTCCCCTGGCCCGTAATCCAGAACTACAGTTATCTGGCAGGAACTTGGCTGCAGGACTGACAGCTGGCTTGTGTGCACTCTGGAGACAGGAATGATGCTCTCCTCAATTCCACACAGGAAGCGTTCAGGTAATGATGTGGCCTCTGAAACTCTATTACAGCTTTTCTGTATCATACAGGAACTGATTTCAGGACTTCAGATAAATTATATAATCCACAAGTGTGAAAAAATACACCAAATTTAATTTATAAAGCATTCCTTTGTTTTACAAGAGATTCTAAGAAGTACAATTAGATACTTATCATTTCATCTTTATTTTTTAAACAGTGCCATTTTTTAAATATAAAAAAATAGACCTATTTTCAAAGAACCACCTAAATATGGCTTTGAAAACCAGTTCTGTTCGGAACAAATAAATGGTAGTGCAACAGCCTTTACAGATACTAATAATAAATAAAAACATTTGAAATATTCCTGCATCTTAGGATCAGGTCTTTATAGAGATATCTGCAACACAATGAAAGTAAATTCCATAATAGCCAATTATGCAACCTGTATACAAGTTTGAATTCGTGCAATCAATGTAGATGAGTAATCACTTATTTGGGGCCTGAGCCCCTATTACCTGAAAATTAAATGAAGAAGTTACAAGTTTCTCATTTTCATTCATTCAGTCAGTCAGTCAACAAAAATATCCAACCATGCTAACACCTGGGGAAGGTGAGGTGATGTGTTAGCGACACCAACAAGCACCTCACGGTTATATATGCTGAAGAAGGGCAACACAGCTGAATCCTTAGAGGTTCAGATTTTATAAATTTAAAAGACATTAAACATCTGTGGCCCCCCAAATTAAAAATAACTGGATGCAGGACTACATTTTAAATCACAGATAGGGCTCCATCACAATAAACTAGTACCAGAATGACTGAAGATGTGATCTCTCAAATGAAGAGAAGTACAGAACTTCAAATTTCGATTGCATTCTAATTACATCAAAAAAACTACACAGCATTTGCAAGAATGTCCTGATTCTAAAGCAGTCCAGTTGAGTAAACCCTTCATCAGTAAATCCTTAAACATCAAAATTTACCCTTGAAACAGCCCAGCTTTCCTCTCAGAGGCCATTTTCTTGCTAACTGCACAGACGCGGCTTCTAAAGCTGATGCAGGCCAGAGTTCAGGAGCAGCAGCAAGTGTGTCTAAATCCCTTAGCAAGTGCTGCCCATCGGCTTTGACTTGAATGAGGAAATGGAGAAACATGCGAAACTGCTGGACTCAGGGCTGGGTGTCGCTGATGGCCGGTTCAGGCAGTGGGAATCAAGCCCATACAGGGGAAGGAAAAAAGCAGACAAAAACCGTGACTTGGCAGTTCTCGGATTTCTACTGATTGTGGACCAATTTGATTATGAGCCAGGATTACTGTGCTGTGTTACTGAGTTTTCCATGTTGGTATAAAGGAACATTGTTGCTGCCTTGGCTTGATATGCAGAAATTATCTTATTGCTTATTTTCTCCTCTAAGGTCAAGTAAAAAATGTGAGACATTTTCATATACCACAAAGGTGATACAGCAGGCTGGAGTCACTCTAATCAAATTGGGGGCAATTCCTTTGTAAAATCCACCAATGCCTTCTTTCCTGTAGAAGGAAAAATAAATAAATATAAGTTTTAATTTTCTACATAGCATTGTAAAGATGCACTGTAGCACTGTCTTTCCATTGTTCATTGATTTGCTCGAGTGGGCACCACTAACGTCTCCATTTTGAGACTTGTTAGTTTTTTTTTTGTTATTAGTGAAACACATGAGGTACAGTTGTAGATTTATAAATACTTGTGCTTGAGTTTCAATTATACAATGATCGAGTATCCATCCCTTCACCAGTGCCCATTCTCCACCACCACTGATCCCAGTATCCCTCCCACCCCCCATTTGCTCACCCCACCCTGCTTCTGTGGCAGGGTATTCCATTTTGTTCTCTCTCTCCATTTGCGTGCTGTGGTTTGCAGAAGAGGCATTGAGTGGCAATCATGTTCAGTCCATAGTCTACTTTTAGCATGCATCTCCCATCCTGGGAGGATCCTCCCAACACCCTTTACTTGATGTTCCCTTCTCTATCTGAGCTGCCTTTTCCCTTAGCATGTGTGGTTGGCCTCCAAGCCATGGAGTGAATCTCCTGGTATTTATCTCGGCTATTCTGGGGTATTAGTCTCCTATTTTGTTACTTTATGTCCCCCAGATGAATGCAATCTTTTTATGTCTGTCCTTCTCTTTCTGACTCATTTCGCTTAGCATGATACTTTCCATGTAGTACCACTTGTATGTAAATTTCAAGGCCACTGTTTCTTTTTTTTTGTAGGAGTACTGCTATTTATTCAGCCACTGATTAGCTGATTGAATTGGGCATGAACTCCACCTTAATTTTTTATTATTAATTTTTCTTTTTATATTTATTTATTGAATCACTGTGGGAAAAGTTACTAAGCTTTCAGGTTTAAGTCTCGGTCATACAATGATCACAACCTTTTCCTTCACCAGTACTCATTTTTCACCACCAAGAACCCCAGTATACCCCCCTCCCACCCCTCCAAATGCCTGTGAGGCAGATGATTTCTACTTAACTCTTCTTTACATTGATTACATTCATTACTTCGACAAAAGATGCACCATTGTTGTTTAGAATTTCCCCCCAAACAATCAGAATTGCTGAAAAGGCATTGTGAAATACTTTGTTTTCTATGGCTGGTTATGAGAATCATATAATGTCATGTGGCCACGATTTTGGATTTCTGCAAAGAGTCAGATAATTACGAGATTGGTTTCTGTGTGTCTGGTGTTATGGCCGTGGCGAAGAGCTGCTTGTGGGGGGGAACTCATGACCTGGGTAGGGCGTGAAGGACGTGCCAGTACCGCCCCCCTTCCCATGAGACTGCAGTTGCCCCGTCACCGCCGGCTCATACCTGGCTTTCCTATAAGCTCTGAGGCGGCGGCCACACTGCTGCTGGGGGAGGGGGGGGGGAAGGCGGAAGGGAGCAACACCCTTTCCCTCCTGGGGAGGCATGGCGCCGTAGTTTAACACATGGTCCATTCACTTTTCTTCTGCAAGCTGCTGGGCTCTGGACTAAGTCCTTTTGACTCTGGAGCCATGGCCATGCCAGAGAGTCACTTGTGGGGGGCAACTCGTGACCTCAGTAGGGGTCACTGTTTCTTTTGAGATGCAGAAGCTTCTTAGTTTAAGATAGTCCCATTTGTCTATCTCTGTTTTCATTTGCTTGGCCAGTGGTGTGACATCTTTGAAGATACCATTAGCTTCAACGTCATGGAGGGTTTTGCCAACTTTGTCTTCAATGTACCTTATGGACTCTGGTCTGATGTTGAGATCTTTAATTCATTTTGATCTTACTTTTGTACGTGGTGTTAGGCAGAGATCTGAGCCCACTTTTTTGCATGTAGCCGTCCAATTTTGCCAGCACAATTTGTTAAAGGGGCTTTCCTTGCTCCACTTCACATTTCTTGCTCCTTTGTCAAAGATTAGATGATCATATGTTTGGGGGGAGATGTCAGTATATTCAACCCCGTTCCATTGGTCTGCAGCTCTGCCTTTGTTCCAGTACCATGCTGTTTTAATTATTACTGCTTTGTAGTAGAGTTTGAAGTTGGGGAGGTTGATTCCTCCCATTTTCTTTTTCCCCAAGAATTGCTTTAGCTATTCGTGGGGGCTTATTGTTCCATATGAATTTCAGGAGTGTTTGCTCCATTTCTTTGAAGAATGTCATGGGTATCATTATAGGGATCGTACTGAATGTGTACAATGCTTTGGAAAGTATTGTCATTTTGACAATGTTAATTCTCCCGATCCATGAGCAGGGGATATCTTTCCATTTCCTCGTGTCCTCTTTTATTTCCTGAAGTAGCATTTTGTAGTTTTCTCTGTAAAGGTCTTTTGTATCCTTAGTTAAGCTGATTCTTAAGTAACTTGATTTTCTGGGGCACAGTTGTGAATGGGATTTTTTTTTTATGTCACTTTCTTCTCACTATTTGCATACAGGAAAGCCATGGACTTCTGGGTATTGATTTTATAGCCTGCCTCTTTCCTATACAAGTCTATTGTTTCTAGGAGTTTCTTGGTAGAGGTTTTAGAGTTCTCTAAGTATAGTATCATATCATTTGCGAATAGTGAGAGCTTGATTTATTCCTTTCCTACCTGGATGCCCTTAATATCTTTTTCTTGCCTAACTGCTATTGAAAGTACTTCCAGTACTATATTGAACAGCAGTGGAGAGAGTGGGCATCCTTGTTTCACCCCCCATCTTAGAGGGAAGGCTCTCAATTTTTCCCCATTGAGGATGATGCTTGCTGTAGGCTTGTGGTAGATGGCTTTAAGTATATTGAGAAAAGTCCCCTCTATCCACATTTTGGTGAGGGTTTATCATAAACGGGTGCTGGATCTTGTCAAATGCTTTCTCTGCATCTATTGATATGATCATATGGTTTTTATCTTTTCTTTTGTTAATAAGATGGATTATATTGATTTCTGAATGTTAAACCATCCTTGCATCCCCAGGATGAATCCCAATTGGTCATGGTGTATAGTCTTTTTGATGACTTGTTGGATTCTATTTGCTAATGGTTTGTTGGGGATCATTGCGTCTGTTGTAACTATTTTTGGCATATCAAATATGCTATGGGGAGCTTGCCAGGGTCTGCCCAGTGGGTGGGATATTCTCGGTAGCTTGCTGGGCTATCTGAGAGGGACAGAGGAATCGAACCCAGGTTGGCTGCTTGCAAGGCAAACACCCTACCTGCGGTGCTATCGCTCCAGCCCAGTGTAAAGATGTAAAAGTTTAATTTTTTCCAACCATTTCTGACAATGCTTGGGGGGATCAGGAGGTGCCAGAGATCAACCCTGAAGTTCCCATATGCAAAGAATGCTCCAGCCTTCTGAGCCAGCTTTTGAGGCCGATAAAGTTTAAGTGACAGTTATTTAAATGCCCCAGAGTGCTGATAGTGAGTGAAGTCAAACTACACCATGACTGAAAAGTAGATTTTCAATGTCCAAAGTGATGTGGCTTATGAACAGTGATAGGGCTTAGCACTCATTTTGCCAGTGGAGAGAGGCTGTGGGTAGCACAACACTGAAAGGGGCTTTGACAATAACCATCTTTCAAATGACTTTTTTTTTTTTTGCAGGGGAGATGGCAGGGAGCTACACTTGGCAGTACTTGGGGATCACTCCTAGTGGTGTGGGGGACCGCTGGGGCTTGAACCCAGTTCTCCTGCATGCCAAGCCTGCACTCAGCCTATTGAGCCCTTTCCTGGGCACTAAAATGCCTTTAAATGTCTAAATAGGCAGAAATATAAACTGAGAGGCATTCTAAAATCTCAGTTTTTAGTATGCTAGAGAACAATCAATATCACACAAGCAAAAATGAAACTTACTTCATTAGCCTAAAACAGGAATACGACTCAGAATTTGTCTGCAAGGTTCTCAAATTTAAATGCTCTAAATATTCTACTGTGGCCCTTCTGAGCGAGCAAAATTCTGGAGCAGTAAGACTGGCCCATGCTGACATGGTAGCTCTCCTCCCCATGCAGAGACAAGGATGTGCAGAAGACATGGGGCAGGAGCAGGGGCAGGGCCCGTTCATCAAACTAGGGGTTTTATAGCTTTTCCGAAGATTCTATGCTGTTCCAAAATCTTGTAAGATTCAAATTTTGTTTCATTCTGTCAATGCATTTGACTTCTCTAAGACCCAACCAGGCTGAGGATCTCACTTTGCCAAATGAAGAAGCAGCCTCACAGAGAATATAGTCCTAAAGAATGTAAATGGGTATGGGTATCAGGAAATGCACGCCCCCCCCGCCCCCAAATGCTTGCAAGGCATCTCTTGAGGGCCCTGTGCACTGCCCACAGGACTCACCTCCAGGTCTTTGTGATCACATCCAACACACCCGCGTAGTACTTGTGCTGATCCTGAAGACGAGCTCGCACAACTTGGTATGGGTATGTTGCCGCTACGGCAAAAATTTTGGACAGTGCTGCAACAGATATATATTCTACTGTGCTCTGAAAAGACAGCACAAAACATGCTCTTTTTCAGATTGGATCCCTTAAAAACTATAAAACTTAAATTATACAAGAAAGCAAACTTGGGGTTTTTTTTTTTTTTTGGTGGCAACAGGGATTAAACCTGGGGCCTCACACATGCAAGACAAGTGCTTCATCATGGAGTGATATCCCTGGTTCCAGAAAACAAACTTTTAAATAAGTCCCACCAAAAAGCTTCCACTCTTAAAACAAGCTCTGTGCAATTCACTAAGTCTATTTTGAATTTTTTGGTGTGCGTGTATGTATCTGTGTACATGGCCTATAAGATATTCAGCCATAAGTGAAATTAGCTGTAAAGTCAGTGTTCGTCATTATTACAATAAATAGGCTAAAAAATATATACAAGACTTGTTTTTAAGAGTCATCTTACCAATTTGGCATCTGGTAATCTGTTCATTTGCTGGTTGTATTTCAACTTCAACAATTCATATGCCATAAACTGAAGGGCACCATGTGATGTCCCAAAGAGGCCAGGAACAAATCCCTAGAAAGGAGCAAGCAATTAAAAGAACTGAAACTCACACCTTGTTTCCAGGAGCTCTCAGCCGTAGGGGTGGGAAGGCAAGCGGGCAGCCCCACTGTGTGCCTGGGAGAATGGAAGGCTGCTCAGGAGCGTGCAAGGGCCCTTCTCATGCCAGCCTGTGTCCTGACAGAGCCTAGAGGAGTGAGGTGAGTGTTGGAACACACAGGTCAGTATGGAAAGGAGAGTTCAGTCTTTCGCCGAATTGTTTCTGGTATAAATTTGGCTTTGTTTTAGGGCTGACTATGGATCATCCAGAACTTGGAGAACAGAGCAAAGGAAATTGAAGCTGTCAGTTATTCAAAATGTTAAATTACCTTATACAATCCACGCACACCTTCATACTTATATATTTTCACCAGTGTATCAAACATTCCTTTATATTGCTGCTGCGGGGGATTAACCACACCGTTGTACTGTAACATCAGGCGAGTTTTTGTTACCCACAGTGGGTTTGTGATGCAGAGGGTCATGGCTCCTGGAATCAAGATTTTAAAAAGGTCACTCAGCCCACCGGCCCTTTCTCCCTTGTGTGGCCCAGGAACAATGGTCTATTTAGAAAAAGGCCCAGCCCAGTGCTTCAGGCATCTGCACCTGTGCACACAAGGATCTACCCCAGCTTGATCATAATCCATTCCAAGCAGCAGCAGGCCTCAAAAATTAAACTATTGCTGTAATCAGTACCATTTTACACTCTTTACAGAAAATGACAGTATCTGTTTAAAAAGAAAAAAAAGAAAGAAAAATATCCACTGGTAAAGTTTCCTAAGCAATCGTTCTCAACAAATATTCATTGAGGCTGTCAGTGATCCAGGTTCCTGTTACTGACCAGGATTTAAAAATGAGTTGCTTTCCATAGAGAATAACTAGTTAACAAACTAAAGTAAGCAAAATATCAAAATAGGAGTTAGAAGGCTTTCAGTACAGACTGAAAGAAAGAGTTGAAGAAATATCATAAATTTTTTGATTTGTAGCTTCTCTAAATTATAAATTATTCTTTACATATATATTTTTACCAGGGGCCAGGGAGGGATATCCCAGACGTGCTCAGGGAGCCTGGGGACCACTTCTGGTGATGCTTGGCCAGTGGAGTCACACCCAGAGGTACTTGGGGGCAGAGGGGAAGGCATGCATTATGGGGATTAAACTCCGGGCTGCAAGCATGCCAGGCATGCTCTAGTCCTTTGAACTATCTATCAGGTCCCAAAATACTGAGATCTATCCAGAGTAATGAGTCAGAATACTTAGCTTTGGAACTCTCATGTGAACTGATTAGTATTGCTTGACACATACACTTAAACTTAGATATTCAAAGGATGGCGGGCAAACAAAATGAAAAAAAAAGGGGGGGGGGGAATGAGTTGAAGTCACACTTCTCACAATGCCTTACCAGCTTCAGCAGCTGAGACAAGATATTCTGTTGCTTCCAACTGCTCAGCTCTACCTTCCGTCTTATAGGATTTGATGGCATTGTAACTAGAATTAAAACAGGAGAAATGGTACGTTTCTAAACAGATGTCACAAAGCAGTCAAGTGTGTTCTTTAAGTATACATTAACAGCACCCCAAAGGCAGAGCATAACCTAAGAAAATAAAACCTCTTCCAGAAAGGGATCACTGTGAGTCCATTAACTCCTCTCCACAACATGGAGAGATTATGGCAAACAACACACCTTTCAGACACTGCACCTCACACTTATTTCTCCTTTAATACACATAATAGGAAAACTGGAAGGTGGGTGTATGCAGAATAGTGAGTGGCCAGGCAGATAACACAAGGAGCAGGAAAAGGCTCTAAATAAATATGAGCTGAGCATCTATGTCCTAGTACTACAGCTGGCATCTGCACGGTGGATCCTAATTAACACATCAGCAAGTAATTATAACGAAAGAACATGGATGGTTTCATAAAAGATTCAAAACTCATGGCTGAGCTCACCAAAAGGCTCTGTGTAGGAGGGATTGGGTGAGCTGGGTCAGAAGTTCTGATAGGGTGAGAGAGAGCACAAGCAAAACCAGGTCCCTTGAGTGGCAGAAAGGCATCTGGGCTTCATTCAGCCAGAAAACAGAGTTAATCAAAGCTTCTCAGCAGAGAAACCAAACCAGTCAAGCCTTTTGAACTCTCTAATTCCCACTTTCTTATAGAAGACTTGAACTAAATTCTTTCGCACAATTAGTATCAACCTAACCTAAAAACAAATGTAGTGCTACTATGAGAAAGTCTCAGCACCTAAGTTACAATCATCCTAAAGTTTGTCCTTAGAAACTATCTTTTGAGGGGCTGGAAAGATGAGTAGGGTGCTTGCCCTGTACACAATCAACCCGGGTTCAATCCCACATTCTCTATGGTCCCCAGAGAACAGCCAGGAGTAATTCCTGAGTGGAGAGCCTGGAGTTACCCGGAGCATTGCGGGGTGTAGTCCAAAAAACCAAACCAAGAAAACAAAACAAAACAAAAAACCTCTTTAGGAAACCACATGATCTCCGAAATTTGTAACAACCAAGTTTATAATAATAGTTTCCCTCACACAGGGATATCTTAAAATGTAAAAATACTTAAAAATAAGGTTGAATTTTTTCTTTTGTTTAAAAAATGTGTTAAGGGAGCCGAAAAGATAGTACAGTGGATGGGGTGCTTGCCTTACATAAGTCCCGGCACCTCATTTTGTCCCTGAGCACTGCTAGGAGTGATCCCTAAGCACAGAGCCTACGTACATCCTGAGCATTGACAGATGTGATCAAGAAACAAAACAAAAATTTTAAGATTGGTTTAGATATTGCTATAAAAATATGAATTCAAGTAAAATAGATGAACAAGAGGAAATGGGAGTATAGCAGGTGTGGTTTTCCTAAACAGGCCGTCAGTGAACAAGAGTCTCCCACTCCTGCCATCTAGGTCACGGCTCAGAGGTGAGCCCGGCCTGGGCGGAGGCCCTGGTTAGAGCAAGGTAGCTCCGTTCCCATGGCCGCACCCTCAGTAAGCTCCATGGGGCTGCCACTGGGCCTTCTGCAGCCTCTTCAGAAGGGACTGCAGCAGCTATTTCCCATGGTCATGCCCCGAGGCCCATAGAGGAGAAGGAAAGGGGCCAGTGAGGCCCCCAGTGGAGCTGGTCAAATAAGAAGGAATCTGCCCAAAGTCAACCAGGCAGGACTTGGTTCGCTTCTCCCAGCAAGTTGCTCCTAGGGGCACCAGCTCTGTCAATACCCTCAGGTCTCGCCACCCGTGCTTTTCCAACTCTGGTATGGAGCAAATGTAATGTCTTCTTGAGGTGATCTCAGACATGGCTTCTCTAAGAGTGTTTATCCAACTCATCCTTTCACCTTCTCCCGTTAAGAACTTCCTTTCAGATCAAATGTCTCTGGTAATAATTGACAGAGGATTAAACAAGCCATTTTGCTTTCTATCACCTAGTTTAGACAAACTGAATAAATGATACCTCTTGCTTTATCAATTAAATGTAAAAAAAATTATAAAAACTAAAATCGCTTTTATTTAATACCGTCAAGTCCCCAGATGTACTTACAAGAAAAAGTAAAGTCCCCAGGATAAGCCTGCACCCCACACATTTGGGGTGACTCCTTGGTAAAGCCCCCGTAGTCCATCAAGTTTCCAAATAGTCGTCAAGCAATGCACAATTCCTTTATATTTTGGCCTCAATTCCAATCCATCACTTACTGCAGTCAAGGATACACAAAGTGAAGAACAAAGTTAGAGCACTGAACCACATATAGATCAAATGGGGGGAGATGAATTCAGAAGGAAAAACTCCTTCAGTAAGAAAACCATCTTCCAAGGATTAATAAAATCAGTGCACTCGTGAAAGCATGCATTGTTCCATTTTGAAGGAGCCATACTCAGTCATGCTCGAGCTCCTGCCTCTGTGCTGATGTAGTGCCAGGAGTCAAACCCAGGCCTCTACCACACAAAACATACTCAAGCTGCTAAGGTCCCTCTCTGGTTCATGAATGTAGCCAGGTTTTAAGTGCATAGCATGCCCCCAATGACAAAGGTTTAAGTGCATGGCGTGCCCCCTGGACAAAGACCCTAAGAGTGGCAGGAAAGAAAACATAGAGAAAGAGATACACCTTTTTTCCTTCAGTCTTTTACCCTTCCCACCAATACACATACAAACACCAAAACCAAAACAGCAGAAAGGGATCCTCATCTATTGTTTTCTTATTCTCAGAAGTTGTAAAGCAAATGATGTTATAATATATCGATTTTATGTTGTTTAAGGGAATTTTAAAAAGTTTTGGAAGTTTATGAGGTAATATTTATTTGATCAACTTTTAAACTTCTATTTTACAAGACTCTACAGAGAGGCTGAAGAAAAACTGTTTATCCATATATGTAAGGCCTTGGGTTTGATCCCTGGCACCTCCTCTCACCCCACAGACACAGGCATTGACATATCTAATATACCAGAGATACCTATCAATCAACAAGAAAATAATAAAAGTTCCTAAGAAAAATAGGCCAATTACATAAGCTCTGAGTTCACAGGGAGAAAAAATAGGCAAGAAGCAATGATCAAATACAACTCAAAGATCCTCTTTTGCCTTCCAGACTGAGGATGATTCGAATGTGGGTTGATGGCCTATGGGTGAGGACACAGAGCAAAGGCACTCCATGCTTCTCTAAAAGCAACTTGCCAGCAAATATTTGCTCTCCTCACACCTAAGAACAGTTTAGACCTTTACACCTGCAACTGAAATACAGCAACAGACTATCACAATTTCTTTTATGTAGCCCATATTCAACCAGGCTATAAAGTGACTCTTCATTACAGAGGATGATATGTGATGTCAAGGATAGAACCCAGGTTGGCCACAAGCAAGGTAAATGCCCTAGCCACTGTACACCCTCAGTTCCAATTAGGGACTGAATTGGGTGCGTCTGCCCCCAAATCCCAGTTTCTATGCTGAAACCCTAACTCCAGAGTGATGCTGGAGATGGGGGCTAGAAGGAGGTAATTCTAATTAAATGGGGTCACAATGGTTGAAGTCAAGTTGGTTCAGTGTCCCTCTAGAGAGGAAGAACACTAGTATTGTGGGCACAGAGCAAAGGCCACCTGAAGACACAGGACATAGGACACAGCTTGTCAGAAGCCCAAGGGAAGGTCCTGCCCCATACCAACCCTGCTGGCCCAGGACCTCAGAATTCCAACTCCCGGAATGATGAACAAAGTATTTTCTGTGTTTAGCAACCCCCAACCCTGAAATCTATAGTATTACTTGTGGCAGCCCTGGCCAACTAATACAGGTCTAACTGCAAAGGTTTGAAAACCACACGGGAGTATGATTTCGAAGTTCTTTATTTCTCAGTCTTGAGTTCAAGTGTGCTGGGATAATCAGATGCACACTTCCGTAAGGAAACCCTGGTATTAAACAAGACAGTAAACAAAATAGATCAAGAAACTGAGCGCATATATATATACATATATACACATATATATGTAGACTGTAATGAAGCAACGTAAATAACACCACCAGTTCTAAAACTAAATACAGTTATATGAAATTTGAGTCAGTAATGGCTGTGTGTGTGTGTGTGTGTATGTGTGTATGTGTACACTGGCTAGCAAGATAACTGATTTCCTACTGGGGGTTATGTTCAACTCAGTCTCCGACAAAGAGCCTAAGCAGCCACACTCTCTTCTGCCTTCTCCAGCTTTACTGCTTTCTCACCAGTAAGTAAACTCTCCAACCTCCAGAGGTTCAAGGATACCAGTATCAGTAAATCCTCCTCAGGAGATAACTAGCTCAAGGGATTTTCTTCCCTCCACCCTCTGCCACTGTTCCTGCAAGTGTACTCAAGAGACCTTCAAGGGCTCTCCGGAAGTCCTCAGCCGTGCCTGGCTTGGCCTTCTTTACCCTCTATTCGCTCTTCTTTAGGCTAGTTTCATTCTACACCCTTTTGATTTTCGTCCTACTTCTTTGCCTGCCAAATTTCCTTTAAAATTCCATCTCTCATGCCCATGTTTTATTTTTTAAATTTTTATTAGTGAAACACCATGAGGTACAGTTGTAGACTTACAAATTTTTGTGCTTGGGTTTCAGTCATACAATGATCAAGTACCCATCCCTCCACCAGCGCCCATCCTCCACCCCCACCGATCCCACCTCCCCATCCCCCCCATCCCCCCCTGCCTCTGTGACAGGGCATTCCCCCCTTGTTCTCTCTCTCTCCTTTTGGGTCCTGTGGTTTGCAAGAGAGGCATTGAATGGCAAACACGTTTGGTCTATAGTCTACTTTCGGCATGCTTCTCCCATCCTGGGAGGATCCTCCCAACACCCTTTATTTGGCGCTCCCTTCTCCCCTAGCATGTGTCATGCCCATGTTTTAAAAGTGTGTGTGAATATGCATCCTCTGTTTTAGTCACTAATTCAGTAAACTGCTTTCCCTGTGTTTCTAAATCTCTAGCTTTTACCTCATTCCTAAATCCACACCTACTTCTGTTTTATTTTATAAGGTACTGAGAAATGTGTTAATTAACAGCCTCTTAATTGGGGGTAGGGGGTGGATTTTATTTCCACCTGATGCTGTAACTACACCAAACCACTCACTTTTTCAAACGAATAGTATTCGTCTTGACTGCTATGCAGTAAGACTTCTAAATCTGAATTTGAGTCCCAACACTTTATTGTGTGACTCTGAGTTGTTACCTGATTTCTGTGCTGAGTCTTTCATCCATTACATAGGAAAGATATCAACACAATTCTTCTAAGAATGACAGAGGATTAAATGAGTCAACACATATGCCTTTAAGTTCACACCTGGCACACAACAAATCCTGGGCATTCTGTTAGCTATTATTATACCACACATACACAAATCTGCTGTCAGCTATTCTTATGGGGCTCTATGTTTTGGTTCCTTTCACTTTAGAATTTCAGATTATTTCTGAAAATTACTGTTTAGTGGGCATGGGAGGGGGGCTTGGGTCATGCCTGATGGTGTTCAGCGGCTACTCATGGTTCTGTGAGCTCTGGAGATACTCTGGGGGAACCACAAGCGGTGCCAGAGACACAATCATGGCCATAGCTAACAGAGCCGCGTGCATGGCAATTGTCTTAACTCTGGTGTTCTTTCTCTGGCCTGTAAATTACTCTCTCCTGGACACATCTGGCAATGCTCAAGGGTTACTCCTGGATCTGCAGGGCTCAGGTAACTATATGGGATGCTGGGGATTGAACCCAGGTCAGCTGCATGCAAGGCAAACTCTCTAGCCACTGTTCTATCACTCTGCCCCTAAATTACCATTTTGAAGTTTCATTCACATTCTTATTTCTTAGGCATCTCATTATTCTGGAGATTCAGAATTATATGTTACTCTTAGAAGGGGCTTCAAAGACAAACTGAGTCTTTGCAGCCAATACTGCTACCTGCTCTCATCTCTGCCACCTCGATCTCTGGTCTATTTCCAGTCTCTCCCAGAGTTCTTGATCCAGCACCACCATTTTGTGGGGTCAAAAATCTGTTTCTCTGTCATTTTCACCTAAACTGTCAGCCCTGCAGACTAGTGGGTTTTGACCGCAGGTGGCAGTTCTGGTCCACGGCTGTAAGGCTACGAACAGGTGTTTCAGATCACCGCACAATAGGACAGCTCACCTTTCTTGCTCTAAACATCTTAATCGTCCCACTTCCAGGGCCAACTAGTTCTTGTAAGCATTTCTTACATAAAAGGATTTCTAATCCGCCACATTGGATACCTCACAGAACTCCGATTTGCACCTGAACGCGCTGAAATATTCCAGCTCTGGTTTAATTCAAGACTAACACCCATGTCAACAGACAATATTAAAGGCTTAATTAATGAAAGTATAAAGACTAGAGTGTGACACGAAATGCCAATTATTTAGTTTCAGTTATTCATCTTCCTAAACTTTCCTCTTTTTTATTCCAGGTTCATAGCGGCACTGTGGGCTTCAACACAAAGCCCTGCTTTTTTGGTTTGTTTTGGTAACACACCTGGCAATTCTTGGGGGTTGCTCACAGGGGTGCTCATTTTTCTTTGGGAATGGGGAGGGTGCTTGGGCCACACCTGGCTCTGCACTCAGGAATCACACAGGGGACCATTAGTGCTGAGGCTGGAACCCAGGTCAACCACAGGGAAGTACTATCAAGTACCAATATCCAGAATCACCCTTTAGATAAGTCTAAAGATAAGCCTAAAATTAAGATTATAAATTGCCAGGGCAGGAACTGTTTAAGTGCTTTCTAACTCTTAAATCAGTACACAAACAGTAAGCAAATGTTATCTATCAGAATAGAATTAACCTGTCTCTCAGAGGGAGAGGGACACAATGATCTCACTCACTCAGGATATCAGGAAATATAGTAGGGGTGTAACTAATGCCCCAAGACAACAGAATTGACAGGCCAGGAAAACTGGTTCCGAGTAGGAAACTTCACACAATTGGGGGAGGGAAGGCCCTATCAGGGAAGGAACTACCACAACAATGATAAAACTCACACTGGAGAACCTGTTGTTGAACCGAGAGAAAGTGATATGCATGATACCTTATCAGTAATAGTATTGCAAACCGCAGTGCCTAAATGGAAAGGGGGGGGGGGAGGAAAAAAAAGAAAAGTGTTTGTCATAGAAGCAGGCTGGAGGTGGGGGCAGGAGGGAAACCTGGGGACATCGGTGGCAGGAAATGTACACAGGTGAAGGGGTGCTAGAACATTGCATGATGCAATCAGGAACAACTTCGTAACTGTGTATCTCAAGGTGAGTCAATTAAAAAAAAAAAAGAAAAAAATTCCTGCCAAAGAGGCAGGCGGGTAGCAAAAGAAAAAATGTGAAAACTGGTGGAGGGGAGTGGACCCTGGTGAAGCGATTGGTGTTTGAATTCTGTGGCTGAAACTCAATCATAAGTAACCTTGTAAACTGGTAATTTTCGGTGATTTGATTAGTAGCACTGTCCCCTCGTTGTTCATCGATTTGCTCGAGCGGGCCCAGTAACGTCTCCATTGTGAGCCTGGTCGTTACTGGTTTTGGCATACTTCTGAATACGCCACGGGGAGCTTGCCAGGCTATGCCGTGCGGGCGGGATACTCTTGGTAGCTTGCCGAGAAGGCGGAGGAATCGAACCCAGGTCGGCCGTGTGCAAGGCAACCGCCCTACCCGCTGTGCCATCGCTCCAGATTTGATTAGTAAGAAAAAACCAAACCAACCCCCCCCCCCCCCCAACAACCTGACCGACGTTGCGATCGACAAGAAGGAACTCGGTGCTGGAGCTAAGCCCCACTAAAACCTGACTCCACACAAACCACGTGTGCGTCACGACTCTCCAAGCGGAACTGCACTCCTCCGTAACGGGAACAAGACCACGGCGACACGCTTGCCAGACACGGTTACTCAAACCGGACCTCTTCGAAACGGAGTCTGAGCAGAAACCCGCGGAGCTTCAGATCCGTCACGGCCAGCGCGCCTCAGTTAACGCCACGACCCGCAAACGCAACGCTCTCGGCCCACCTACTGCACTGTTTTAGGGGCCGGAGTCCCTCGCGCTCGGGTCACAGAACCTTGCACGCCAAGCTGCGTCCCGCACCCCAAACCTGACCTTCTAGAGAATTCCGAAACCGGTTCCATTCCCCGGCGCCGGGCCGCGGCTCCCGCCCTACCCGGGCGCCGCCAAACACGTGGCCGGCCCGGCTCGGGCGTCCAAGAGCCTGGCCACGGCGGACGGGCGGCTCGCAGGTGTCAGGACGAAAGCCCCACCGCCCGCCCGCGATCCCGGTCGTCGTTGCACTTCCGCTCCGGGCCCCGCTCCACGCCGCCGAGCGGTGCGGCGGGTGGGGGGCAGTTCTGCCCTCGGCTGGGGCCCGGACCCCGTTTCCCGAGTGGCCCCGGCGGGCCCGGACGGGACAGCGTCTTCTTCAGAGCCCGCGCTGCGTGTGTGTGTGGGGGGGCCTGGGCGAGAGGGGAGGGGGGTCCGTCGCGCCCGCCGCGGGCCGGGCCCTTACCGGCGAAGCGGATCTTCACGAGGTCGAGCGGGTGGAGCGCGAGGTTGGACAGGACCCCGCCGCTCACGCCGGCCACCAGGTTCTCGTAGCGGACGTGGCGGAACACCGCGCTCCACGCCGACGACCCGGACCCCGACTGCCCCTGGCCGCTCATGGGCTCGGGGCCCGCGGTCACCACGGCGCCCAGCGCCGCCGAGGTGGGCCGTGACGCGGTGGCCGCCACCGTGGCGACGGTCGCCGGCCCGAGGCAGGAGCCGCGGGCCACGAGCCCACTTCCGGAGCGGCGCGCGAACGCCGGCGCCCGGGCGGACGGAGCGAGAGGGCGCGAAGGGCCGCGAGAGCTCAGGCCGCGGGCGGCCGGGCCCCCGCCCCGCCCCCGACGCCCCGCCCCGCCCCGCCCCGCCCCGACGCCCGGCCGCCCGGTGGGGGCGGAAGGGCCCGGCCGCAGACTCCCGCCGAAGAACGCCTCCCGCCCGGCGCCCGGAACCTCGGACGCCGCGCGACGGAGCGCCGCCGGAGCCAGAGAGGCGGCGGCTTCCGCTCCGCGCGGCTCACGTGACCGGAACGGGTCGCCGGGACGGAAGGAGCCTGGGCCCGCTGGCGTGGAGGCGAGCGGAGGCCCGAGGGAGGAGGGCTCGAGGTGTTGGTGTCTCCCGCGAGCCGCCGCGATGAAGGTGAAGATGCTGAGCCGGAACCCGGACAACTACGTCCGCGAGACCAAGTTGGACCTACAGAGAGGTGAGCCCGGAGTCTGGCTGACCCGCCTGGCGCCTTCCGTCCTCGTCGCCTCCCACCCAGGAAAAGCGAGTGACCGCATCCTTGCGGTACTGGTTAGCAAACAAACTTCTTTTTACACTCCTTTTTAGAAAAAACAGAAACAAAACTTCGGGACGCGCCGGCTGCTGCTTCCACATCCCTGCAGTTGGAACTATCTAGATCAAAGGATTTAAGGCTTTCAACCTTAGTACTGCTCTGACTTTGGTCTCCTTTACTAAAAGTTAACTTTTTTGTGGATGAGGGCAGTAACAGAGTGAAACTTGGACATAATTTTTCCTTAGCTTTTTTTTTTTGTGGATCACACCAGGTTGGGCTCAGAGCTCCCCCCTGGCTAAGGCCGTAGAGTTAGGCGTGCAAACCCTTCACGGTGGGAGCAAAGTTAAAGAAGCGTTAGGAGAAGGGCTGCGGTGCTGGGGCAGTAGTACAGCGAGTAGGGCGCTTACTGTACACCGGGGCTGGATCCCGGCCTCCGCGTATAAATGGTCCCCAGAACCTCTAGGAAAGGTACCTAAGCGCAGAGCCAGGAGTAAGTCCTGAGCACCGCTGAGTGCAAGGTCCCCCAGCCACCACCTCCCCTTCCCCAGAAAAAAGAGGAGGGCTGTGTCAGGAGTAACAAGTGTTTGGGGGGGGGAGGGTCGAGGGGAGCGCTCCCTTCTCCCCTCTTGGCCAATCAGTACAGATGGGTTGCATGTCAGCGGCTGTGGATGCTGCAGATTGGGCCTGGGGTTCAGGTGGCAGTGGTGGTTGTATCTTTGGACGTCCTTACGCCTTGAACATCTGGTCCCTTTGCCCCGTTCCCCAGTCACCCCACCTGCCACAGTAACTGACATCGACCTTTACCAGACTGAGTTCATCGTGGGCATTCTCTTTCAGGTTTACTGTGGCACAGAGCCATTTTAGCATCTTCCTGTGGAAAGCTTGTGCTTAACACTAATGCCTTTTTTTTTTCTATTTTAGCTAAATAGTTACAATAGCGTTAGTGTTTCTGGTTTTAATGTACATAGTTACTACCCCACCACAACCACCAAAGTGCTCAGGATTGAGTTACTACTGTTCAACTCTTCCTCTCCTAAGTCTCCCTTCTTCTTTATAGTTAAAAAAATTTAAGGGATTGTCTTTATTTGATACTATCTGTTCCCTTACTTTGTTTCTCAAGATATGGGGAAAATGAGATTATCCAGTATCTGTCCTTCTTTCATGGATATTTTGCTTGTTAGCAAGGATATCTTCTAGTTTCATACAAGTTGAAACAAATTGCAAGATTTCATCTTTGATGATAGCTAAATATTGTAACATTTTTCACAGCTTTATCCACTTTATTGTTCAACACTTGAGTTGCTTCTGTAGCCTTATAGGTGATAGAGATTCATATGTCACTTCAAGTTAATGCTTTTGTGTTCTGAGGTAGATACCGGAAAGCAAACTTGAGGGTCACGTGGATGTTCTAGTCTTACTTTTTTGAGAAGTGTTGATACTATTTTCCCTAGAGACTGAACCAGACAATGTTCCCACCAGGAGTGTGGGTTCCTTTCTCACCAAATCTGCCAACATTTATTATTTCCACTTTTTTTTGGGGGGGTGGGGTGGCACACTACTTGCACTCAGGGCTTACTCCTGTCTCTTCCCTCAGTATTCACTCCTGGAGGTGCTTGGGGGCCTGTGTGTACAGGAATGAAACCTGGGTGGCCACAAGAGTACTATCACTCTGGCTCCATATTTTCACTCTTTCCTCACTAGTGTGAGATGATATTGTAGTTCTGGTTTGTGTTTCCCTGGCAATAACTGTTTTGAGTCTGTTTTGTTTGCCACTCTTTGGGCCTTCTAGATCAGTGTTTCGATGCATGGGGTTGAGGTGTGCATGGAAGGTGGGATTCAGTCTGCTCAGAAGGAATGGTTTCTGCCAAGACCTAAGAGTGGTCAGTAGAGGTGAAGGCAAAGAAACCAATTTGGCTAGGGCTGAATTTCTGAAAGTACTTACAAACTCATGGTACATCTTGGGATCGGATTGGCGAAGACCAGAAAGGATTCATTTCATTGACCAGAGGTTCCTAAATCCACTTCAAAGTGGAAAAACGGTCAGCACTTCATAATATGTATTATCTTGAGTGGAAAAAACAGCACTTCAACTCACATTTATTTATTTATTTATTTTGCTCTTTGGGTCGCACCTGGCAATGCTCAGGGGTCACTCCTGGTTCTGCACTCAGGAATCATTCCTGGCGGTGTTCAGGGGACCATATGGGATGCTAGGAATTGAACCCGGGTCGGCGATGTGCAAGGCAAACATCCTACCTGCTGTGCTATCGCTCCAACCCCTCACATTTGTTATCTTAAAAAATTAAACACAAAATGGATGAAGCGCTCTACAGCAGGTAAAGTACCTGCCCGTGGTCAACCCAGGTTCAGTCCCTGGCATTCCATGTAGTCCCCCAAGCCCACCAGGAGTGTTCCCTGTGCACTACTAGATGGGTCCCTCAAACCAAAATAAAGAGCCTAATTTGTGGTGGAGGGAAGGTTCTGGGCCACAGTTGCTGGTGGTGGTGGGCACTTACAGGTGCAGAACCCAGCGGGCACTCAGCCCTTTGAGTTCCTTCTGTGCCCCGCACCTCCCAGTCAAGTTTTCAGGCTGTCTGGATGACACTGGCAGCCTTGGTTCTGTTATGTGTGGCAGGCCAGGAATTCAGAGGAAAAACTGGAGGATTGACCACCAAGTATTAGCTTGCTTCTGCCTTCGGTTACAGTTTACATTTATTGGGGAGTTCTTTACTTTTTTTGGTGGAGGGGGTGGGGGACAGACTGCCATGGTTGGAATCCTGACCCCATCATTAATAGGTAATTTCCTGCTCTGTGTCTCTGCTTCCTTGTCTGTGATCTGGAGACCTGGCCACACAGTGTCGTGGTGGTTGAATGGGCCCATCTTTTCTGTGGTAAACTTTGTTTTTAAGTAAGTAAATGCACCCCCGGAGATGAAGAATGCTCGAGTACATACAGGAGGAAGAGTCGGAGCTATTCAGTTTCTTTCCTTAGCAAGTGTACATGTTCCATGATCTTCTGGTCATTTTGGAAATTACATATAACCCCCCTTTACTTTGGTTTTTGTCACAGTACTCAACAGAGAATTGTGTCTTAGCAAGTCCAATGATTAAAGGAAACAGCCACAGGAAGTATTAAGTGTAACTTTTTTATTAAGAGGACTTAATCTTGTTTCAGTTCCTAGAAACTACGATCCTACCTTACATCCTTTTGAGGTCCCGCGAGAATACGTGAGAGCTTTAAATGCTACCAAGTTGGAGCGGGTGTTTGCCAAACCATTCCTTGCTTCCCTGGATGGACACCGAGATGGAGTCAACTGCTTGGCAAAGCACCCCAAAAGCTTGGCTACTGTCCTTTCGGGGGCATGCGACGGAGAGGCAAGTGTGCTCCAAACATGGATATTTTAAATCAGAAGTTATATTACAAATACAAATTTTGTATTAATTGGATTGATAACACTTCTGTGTCCAGTTTTATATCTCAACTAAATTCTGGTTGCTTTGGTAACTTTAGTCATTTCAGATATAAAGATAAAGTAAAGTAAAGTAAAGGCCCTCCCGTTGATCAGCGATTTGCTCGAGCGGGCCCTGTAACGTCTCCATTGGAGACTTTGTTGTTACTGTGTCTGGCATATCGAACACGTCATGGGGAGCTTGCCAGGCTCTGCCGTGCGGGTGAGATACTCTCGGTAGCTTGCCGGGCTCTCCGAGAGGGGCGGAGGAATCGAACTTGGGTCGACCATGTTGGCTGCGTGCAAGGCAAACGCCCTACCTCTGTGCTATCGCTCCAGCCCAGATATAAAGATAAGAGATTTAAAATGTAGGTTAAGACTCAGTTTGACAGTCAATAATAAGTCATGTGGGCCACAGCAGTAATACAGTGAATTGGACATTTGACTTACACGTGGCTAACCCAGTTTCGATCCTTGGCATCCCATATGGTCCCTTGAGCACCACCGGAAGTAATTCCTTAGTGTTGAGCCAGGAGTAACCTCTGAGCATTGCCAGATGGGGCCCAAAATGTCAAAAATAGAATAAAATCCTCTAGTGCTTAAAAAGGAATAATAAATCATGTTAATACTAAAGAGATTTTATTGGGTGTTGCACCCCCCCCCAGGGTGTTATTAGTAATTCAGCACTTAATTATTTTCAAGTCTGTAAAGAAAAAAAAACACACTTCAAAACTTAAGATTAGAATCCGTGGAGTACACAACAGATTGAATTTTCTGCTTGTTGATGTACTTACCCATAGGCCTTGTATTATTTTAACCCAGAAGCTTTTGTTTGTACTGTCTGGTAAGGTGATTCATTGCTTTTGCAGCATGGAATTTATTTTTCTTGGAATGCAGTGCTCAGTGGTTGAACATTATATATTTATAGATCACTGAAATTTCCTGGTATGCTTTCTTGTAGGTTAAGATTTGGAACTTGACTAAACGAAAGTGTATCCGTACAATACAAGCGCACGAAGGTTTTGTACGAGGAATATGTACTCGATTTTGTGGGTCTTCTTTTTTTACGGTAAGTATAGTAAATATAACTAACTCACTGGCTCCTTTCACTGTTGGTAATTGAACATTTTCTGCACTCGTGTATTTATTCCAAAGCTCTAAAGTCTTGCTTTTTGTTGTGTAATTCAGCTTTCCCCTTACCTTTTTTTTCCTTTTGTTTTTTTGGGCCAATCCTGTTGTGGCTTAGTGCTCAGTTCCGACTCTGTGCTCAGGGGTTCACTCGCAGTGGTGCTCAGGTGACCACGTGATAGCAGAGTTTGAACCCAGGCCTCCTGCACACAAAGCTTGTCCCCCAAACCTATTGAGCTCTCTGGCCCTTCCCAGATTTTAATGGTTATTTTATCAAAAAGTAGTAAAGGTAACGGTAAAGGCCCTCCCGTTGATCATCGATTTGCTCGAGCGGGCCCAGTAACGTCTCCATTGGAGACTTTGTTGTTACTGTGTCTGGCATATCGAATACGTCACGGGGAGCTTGCCAGGCTCTGCCGTGCGGGCGAGATACTCTCGGTAGCTTGCCGGGCTCTTCGAGAGGGGCGGAGGAATCGAACTCGGGTCGGCCATGTTGACTGCGTGCGGGCGCCGCGCCTGTAGTCCCAGCTACTCGGGAGGCTGAGGCCGGAGGATCGCTTGAGTCCAGGAGTTCTGGGCTGTAGTGCGCTATGCCGATCGGGTGTCCGCACTAAGTTCGGCATCAATATGGTGACCCTCCGGGAGCGGAGGACCACCAGGTTGCCTAAGAGGGGTGAACCGGCCCAGGTCGGAAACGGAGCAGGTCAAGAAGTAGTAATGCACAGTAAAGCTAGAAGGATCGTTTGGTGTACTCTGAAGGATTTTCAGTGCTGGGCCTGAATGATTTGTACTTCAGTAGCACTGCACTGTCCTCCCGTTGTTCATTGATTTGCTCGAGTGGGCACCAGTAATGTCTCACAATTGTGAGACTTGTTACTGTGTTTGGCATATCGGATATGTCACGGGTAGCTTGCCAGGCTTTGCCATGCGGGCAAGATACTCTCGGTAGCTTGCTGGGTTCTCGGAGAGGGGCGGAGGAATCGAACCTGGGTCAGCCGCATGCAATGCAAATGCCTTACCTGCTGTGCTATCGCTCTAGCCTTCCTGTTTCAATAGTGAATCATTATTATAATCATCAGTTTGTGAAGTAAGTTAGTTTTTATTTAGATTATAAGAAAGATGTAAGGGGAGAGAAAGGGAGATGTGTGTTCAAGAGAGATCACGGGCTTCTCCAGAGAAAATAAGCAGAGAGCCATAGAGATTAGCAAGTGTTAAAGGGAGATCACGGCTTAAAGAGCCAGCCATGTATGTTGATAGTAAATTATTGAAGCATATTTGTGTGTGGCAGAATACACAGAACAATAAATTTAGCATCCTAACTCATTTCTAATGACAGTTCAGTGGCATTAAGTCATTGACACCATTATGTACCCACCTTCACACTTTACCATCCTCCCAAACTGAAATTCCATAGCATTAAGCAGCAGGCCCCCTGTTCCCCCTGTTCCCTGATAACTACTGTCCAACTCCGGTATTATTTTAGATACCTCGTATAGGTGGAGTTATGTAATATGTGCCCCCCCCTTTTTTTTTGTATGACTCATTTCACTAAGCATGATGCCCTCAAGACTTAACCATGTTGTAGCATGTTTTAGACCGAACTGAATTTCTTTCCCTTTTGCAAGCTGAATAATACTCCATTATGTGTGTACATACTACATTTGTTTTCTGTTAATAGTCATCTGGATTGATTTCACTTTTTGGCTTTGTGAATATGTGATCAGTATCTTTCTGTGTTTGTGGAAGGTTTTTAATAGGAAATTGATCAAAGTTGTACTTGGAGATATATTTGATGACAGTGATCCATTCGGAGACTTTAATCTGCTTAAGTGGTGATACAAATCAGCAGTAGGGAGTAAAAGCAGCAGAAAGTGGTTGTTAGGTTTAGAAACATTTTAGATGCGCTTCAGAGCTGAGTGGCAACTTGGAAGATGATTCCCCTCACAGAGACAGGAAGTCAGGATTACCAGTGACTTTAGGGGAGAATGGGGAGGTGTGTAATAAGCTGAACTGCTGTAAAGATACCTATAAACCTTTGTGACCGCAAATGAGGAACTCAGGAGGGAAGTCAGAGCTAAACCAGGCATCCTAAGATACAGAAGTTGTGACTAAAGTCCCAGTGTGGCATTGCTGAGGGGCAATGAGAGGGGAAATGTAGAAATACCAAAATGCCAGGGTGATAGCCCTGGGGTGTTCCCACCTCTAGGAAGTGAGAGGACTAGAGCAGTCGGAGAACAGAGCCCGTGAGGGAGCTTGGCTTCCCAAGAGGAAGCTGCTTGTGTGAACTACTGTGAAGGATGATGTGACAGAGACTGCTGCTTCCCGGAAGTCCAGACCTGTAAAGCAGGGGCCGTGGGGACGGCTGGAGCGCCCACGCCCCAGTACTCTGCACATGGCAGCCCGTCCTGAGCGCCTGGGTATGACCCAACTTCCCTGACCCCCCCAACCTCCACCCGCCAATTTAGATCTATAGTTCTACTCTCCTCATTCTGACAACTATTAGCAACGGATCTCTTCCCTTTTTCCGAATCCCCTAACACATCGTCTTTCAACTCCCCCAAGCTCATGCCTGCTCACACTGGCATTTGGTAGAGCAGCTTCATCTTCTACCAGCAAGTTCAGGCTCAAGCCCGCAGAAGCTTGACTGCAGGAAAGCGTCTTCAGGGAGAGCATGCTCAAAGGCATTTCTCCCTTTTTCCGGAGACACTAAAAGATTTACTGTGGTTCAGATGCAACAGGACCACAGTGCCTGCTTAATACCTACATACCCAGTAGGTTTGGGATTCCAGAGCTTAGTTTTGGTAGGAAGCCAGTGTGGTCCCCAGATTCAGTTGTTAATAAGAGGGAGCTCAGTTTAATACTTCTTTCCTAATGTAAAGATGCTGTTCAGGATTCTATTAGCATCCTGAGTGAAGGAAATTCCTGGCTGACCTCGTACTAGAGTGTCTCTCCTGACCTCTTCCCTGTAGACCGGTCTTGTGGATACTGTGAATTGTTTCACTGGAATGGTTTTCAGCTTTTCTTGCAGTAGTCTGCAAGAGAACACTATTGCTCGTTTTTAAGTATTTGTTAATATTTGAAAGGGTGATTTAGAGTGAGTATGATACAGAAAGGTCAAGCCCAGGCTAAGCCCAGGTTAATATACCATGTAATTCTACTCTCTGGTAAACTAGCATTTTTTGTTTTATTTAGAGTTATGGGCTGGAGTGATAGCACAGCGGCAGGGCATTTGCCTTGCACGCAGCGAGCCTGGCCGAGCCAGGTTCGATTCCTCCGCCCCTCTCGGAGAGCCTGGCAAGCTACCAAGAGTATTCAATATGCCAAACACAGTAACAAGAAGTCTCACAATGGAGATGTTACTGGGCCCGCTCGAGCAAATCCATGAACAACAGGAGGACAGTGACAGTGACAGTGATTTAGAGTTATATAGTGTCATAAAGAGTTGTTTTTTTTTTAAACCCCCAACAAAATCTTATTTTTTGAGGGGGTGGGGGGGTGTTGCTGTTGGTACTGGCAATCAAACTCCAGGCCTCACATGTGCAGGGTGGGTGTTCTTGCTGCTGAACTTGGCCCTGTGATTTATATTAAGTATTCTGTTTTGCAGCTCTTTCACTCTGTATCTTGGATATGCTGCATCATAGTTTCATGCCTTGCTTTGAGAATGATCTAGGATGCTAACTGCTCTATCCACCGTTACTTTTTTAGATGTGCAACTTTCCACATCCTTAAGAGATCTGCATTTCACAGTTTGAAAACAGCTGACTTTGTTTCTGGATGGTTTTTTTCTGGAAGGTTTAACTTTGCAAAGAGGGATTTTTCCCATGCCAAATTTTAAAATGCTATCTCCCTAGTATTTCTGTTTTTATTACATTTTTGTACATTTACAGTTATCTGGAATTTGGGGGTTTTTTTGTGTGTGTGTTTTGGGCCACTCCTGGCAGTGCTCAAAGTTTACTCCTGATTCTGCACTCAGAAATCACTACAGACAAGGCTTAGGGGATGCTGGGGACCAAACCCAGGTTAGCCATGTACAAGGCAGTCCCCTTACCCACTATAATATCTCCTGCCTTTTTGAACTTTGGTTTTATATCAGAAAATTTAAGCAACTTAGTGAAATTCCGATGCCTTTTTGCAGCCCATCTTCTATTTAATGTGAGATACTATTTTTATTATATTGTGCAGTTTTTGCCACATTTGTGACCCAATTTTGTTCCTATTCTCCTTTTTCTTTCTCTACTCATTTGTATTCATCTTTACTGTAACAGGATGGGATATACTGCATTATTAAATCGACTGGAAAATATGTTGTTTTTTAAAAACTACAGCATTTTTTAGTATGTGTTGGTTAGTTTATAACTTCACTATCATCATTATCATGAATATTTTTAGGTTGGTGATGACAAAACTGTGAAGCAGTGGAAGATGGATGGGCCAGACTCTGGAGCAGAAGAAGAACCATTGCATACAATATTAGGAAAGGTACGCAGTGAACAGATGCACGCTTGTCTTGTTTACATACTTCATTGAAAATTTGCCATAATTTCAATTCCTAAAACAAAATGTAAGAAGAAATCAAAGACTTTGGCCTATGTTACTTAAACTATTTTTAAGCAATATTTAATGCAGTTAAATATAAATTTATAAGCTAAAAACTTTTGACAGTTTTTCAATATGGCGTATATCAAGGTTTGAGCTAGAGGGTACAATGAAATAGTTCCTGTGACAGGGTCTTGTGAGAAAATGGGCATGGCTGGAGAAAGGTGAGAGGGCCGGGGGCAGGATCAGCGAAAGTGGACCAGTGTGAGAATGCAGTGGGGAAGGCACTTACACGTCACCAGTCTGGTGATGGTCGATCCCTGGAGCTGAATATTGAGAGGGCGGGAAGAGGAAGGGTGAGATGAGAGAGGAGAGAAAGAGAGAATGAGAGAACGAAAGAACTGCATGGTGCCACAGCACTGCACACTGAATTCAGAGTAGGTGGAGTAGCGCTATAGGCCCCACCCCAGCACCACCTCACATATCAGTATATTTGTCGAAGTTCCGGTGGCACAGCAGAGTATGCTGTTTCTTGCACACTGCAACTTAGTGTGTGTGGGCACCACAACTAATGTCTTTAAGCACACACCAAATGTGCAACCCAGTCTTCCCAGCAACAGGAAAGAGAAGGGCAGGGAAGGAGGAATAAAGACAGAACCACTGTGTGTCACTGTGTCGCTTCAGTTAGCTTTTTTTTTTTTTTAACCAGCTATCCAAAATAGGCAGGCTGGGGTCAGAGAGATAGTACAGTGGGACCTGCATGCATGACCCTCAGGGTTTGATCCCCCTGTGATTCCTGAATGCAGAGCCCAGAGTAACCCCTGAGCATCCTGGATATGTCCCCCCTCAAAAAAACTAAATTACCAAACTTGGGACTATAATGCAGTCCCAAGTTGGCTGATTTCATATTTAAAACGAATTGTTTCAGATTTATGAGTTTATTGTTTGTGCCAATATTAGTATCCGTCCTCCTCCACCCCGCAAATTTGGGCCGGGGGGTGGTGTGTTTTGGGCCCCACGCAGCAGTGCTAAGGGTTGACTCCTGGCTCTGAATTCAGAGACCACACCTGAGTGATGGGCAACCCTGTCACTGTCACTGTCCTCCCGTTGTTCATCGATTTGCTCGAGCGGGCCCAGTAACGTCTCCATTGGAGACTTTGTTGTTACTGTGTTTGGCATATCGAATACATCACGGGGAGCTTGCCAGGCTCTGCCATGCGGGCTCGATACTCTCGGTAGCTTGCCGGGCTCTTCGAGAGGGGTGGAGGAATCGAACTCGGGTTGGCCATGTTGGCTGCGTGCAAGGCAAACGCCCTACCTCTGTGCTATCACTCCAGCCCATGGGCAACCCTGTGTGATGCTGTAATTTGAAGTGGGGGTCAATGCATGCAAGGCAAGTACCTTAGCCCATGTGCTGCCTCTCCAGTCCCCCCTCCCCCCAGCCCCAAGTTGTAATCCATTTGTCACTTTCTGCATTTCAGTCCTGGGTGTCATTATTTCTTGTGTAAACCATGGAAGTAATTCTTTATTAATTATTTTAGCATTTCATTACTTGATTTTTGTTTTGATTTTGTTTCGGAGCCACACACAATGGTGCTCAGAGCTTACTCCTGGCTCTGTATTCAGGATCATTCCTAGTGGCTTGAGGGACCACGTGGAATGCTGGGAATTGAACCTGAGATAGCTACATGCAAGACTAGTGCTTTACCTGCTCTGTTATTGCTCTGGCCTCTAATTACTTGATTTTTTAAGATCTTTCAATATTCAATAATTTAAAAGTACTTCGGGCCAGATAGATGGTGTAGGGGTTAAGGCATTTGCTTTGCTGGCCAACTTCAGTTGATTTCTAATGTCATGTGGTACTCCATGTAACACTGAGGATGACCCCAGAGCACCAAGCCAAGGGTATGCCCTGAGCACTGATCTCTGAGTACCACTACTACCAATTAAATAAAAGTACTTAGGTGATAGATTTTCAAACTTAATTAAATATATCTTGTTAATAATTTTTCTTTATTCCCATATGTGAGATGAGAAAAATCACTTTCTGTGATACTATTTTTTTCTGAACAGGGATTTTCTTTAAAAACCAGAGTGTTAGTTAAGGAGATAGGTTGGGTGGCCAACAGAATCCTGGGGTCATTGATGGAGAGATGGTGGTAGGATTGGAGTTGGAATGTTTTCAACAGAGCCTAAAATTCTATTTTTAACAACTTTGTAAATCTCAGTACCTAAATTTTTTTTAAATCTCTTAAATGAGAGTATAAATAAATAGGTTTAAAATAATACTCCTTAAATTTGTACTATCAATGAAAAAAACTAATTGCATTATCTCTTTGCTTTTAAAGACAGTATATACAGGAATTGATCATCACTGGAAAGATCCTGTTTTTGCCACATGTGGACAGCAAGTGGACATTTGGGATGAACATAGAACAAATCCTGTCTGTTCAATGACCTGGGGATTTGACAGTATAAGTAGTGTTAAATTTAACCCAATCGAGGTACGCTTCCTTCTTGAAAAGTGCTCCTTTTGTTTCCTCGTTACTTAATAGTTTCAAGTCCCTTTAGAAAAATTTTGGATACGTAGTATGAAAATTTACTGAAATTTAAATGATGTTCTAGCTTTTATTCAACTTGCCCTGTTATGTCTGTGTTCTGGAACGTTTGCTGAGATCTCAGCAGGTCTGCCTGCCTCCTGGTCACACTGGGTAGAGGAAGGTGAACACATGTACTTGAGGGGATAGGTAGGCTGCAGCACTGGCCATTCAGTGAAGCTTCAGTTTTGCTTGTGCCTCCAGACCCCACCGTTGCGCCTTTAAAAAATCGCTCTTAATTTCCACAACTGTTTTGTATTTATAATGTATCAATGCATAATGAGAAATGTATGGTTACTGTTATGCCATGTATCGGTTAACTGATATTTCTCTTTGCTTCGAAGTGTCAGTTGTGACTTTAGCCAAGGAAAGAGTTGGAGATTAGCTATTGCTTTTTCAGGCCCAGGTTTAGGAAAGGCAACTACCACTAAGGTTCTTGACTGTTACTGAGATTTTTTTCCCTTCTGTTTTGTTTTTCTCCTTTTGGGGCCACACCTAGCTGTGCTGAGGGGTCCATCTGGCGCCAGAGATCAAACCCTGGGCTCCTGCAGGGAAACATGAGCTCTGGCCCTTTGTACCATCTCCTCTGCCCTCCCTGAGATTTGTTTGGACATGGCAGTAGGCAAACTCATCTAGAAGACATAGTGGCGATGCCTTTTCCTGAGAAGTTGCCTCATACATAAACTGAGGTCAGAGTTTGTCAGGAAGTCACTGTGTTACACGGTGGAGGAGAAAATCCTGACATGCCGATTTGATACTCTCAGAGAGCCAGGCTCGTAGAAGGAGGGTTGAAAAGTCAGTTATAAACTCGATGATGAGCTGGAACGTGGGTGCGTGGTCTGAGGTCATCCTGGCCCCAAGGTGCGGCTGAGCAGCCAGACAGTCCAGGACACGCTTCCTGCCCCCGACCACTTCTGCAAGACACTCCAGGTCGAGAGCAGAGAGAGGCTGACGAATGATGGTCTGGTTACCCGCTGCCTTGTCCTGTCATGGAGCACAGCCGTGCCCTTCCCCTCGGTGTCATTTATAGCTGCTTGATGGCAGAGTTGAGTAAATGCTGCCGAGACTGTGTGGATTGGGGGTTGGCAAGCCCAAAGCACTTCCTCTGTAGCCTGTTCCAGAAAGTGATGACTTTCATCCTCCATCTTTCTCCCTGCGCTCCCCGTGGTTACCTGGTGAACTGGGGTCCAAGAGGGCAGACGAGCTGGTGTGACCCCAGGCAGGAGCATGCAGGAGTGGGTCGGGAGCAGTGTCTGTCCTGCTGGGTGTTTCCTGCCTTTGTGTCTTGGCTTTGACCTTCTTCAGGTCACAGTTTTTCTCTATATTTGCTTCTTTATTTTTAAAGTGAGCTTAATTATATCTTCCAGGGTAATTCATAGGTCTGTTGTGAGTGTAAGATGTGATAATATATGCGAATATTTTTAAAAGGTGCCATCAAATTTAAGATGCTGATGTTATTACTATTAAAAAAAAAATACCACCCCAGGAGGAGCAGACAGATATGATTCCTTCTTCTCCAGTGGCTAAATGAGATCTTTGGCATCTCTGTTTGGGTCAGAGGAGCTGATGCCAGTTCCAAAATCCAAATTAATTGCAAGTGATGACTTTGCGACCCTGTTTTTCAAGTTTGCCTCTGTAACAGTGCTGTTTAGCTGTGTTTTGTTGTTTAATTAACCTTACGAACTGATTTAGTGATAAAAGCAAACTGTGTGTATATTTCTTATTTCCTATTAAACTTAATGGTAAGGGCATGTTGCTGTGAACAAATAGACTGTTTTTCTCTCTTCCAATAACAATTTTTCTAGCACAGTATTCTGATAAAGCCAATAAAGTATGCTGTGCATTGCCACGTTGTTGAGTGTGAAAATTGGCATTCAGGCTAGGCAGATTTATTTTTTTGCATTGCTCAGATCAGTCTTTATATAAGTGGAACCTGGTCAGACCTTGAGGTGACATCATGAAAAATGAAGAAGGGTGGAGAGGACTCACTCACCAATGGAAAGTTTCAGGAAGGAAGTGATTAATGAGGAGGGTTTCCTGAGAGAACCGAGGCTTGGCACCGTGGTCAGTGAGGATTTTTTTCTCTCCAAAGCGCAATTATTGCTAACTGGAAAAGAATTGAGCAGAGATTATGATAAACCACGCTTCGTGTGGTTTATTCCGTCTGGGTACGTGAGTGTGGTAGAAGCCAGCCAGTGGTGCAGTGAGGGAGTAAACAGCTCATTTCTCCTCCATTTGCAGTGGGAATAGAGGCAGAGGCCAACCGTGAGTGTCAGGAATAGTGAGTGGGGAGGGGTGAGGTGGGGGTGCATAGTGTCACTTAATGACCAGGGTTGTATGTGTTTCACCTTGTTTGTGTAACACCTTGTATGTGTAATACCTGACCGATACTTGAAACATGTGAGGCAAAGGACATGCTTAATTTAGTTCATGAACATGAGGAAATGTGTAACCACTAGTCAGGCAATCATGTCATTAAGGAATATCAATGTACAGATTTTAATTTTTAAGTAACATTCCCTCAACTGTTTGAGTGCAGGAAAATCGACATACTCCCCCACAATAGTGCTTGTTAATACAACTCTATGACACAGTTAAATATATATCAAGAAGTGTAAAGTTGTTCATGCTTTTTGACTCACTGATGCCATTTTTGAACACTAAAAAGAAAGAAGCCTTACATTTGATAGCTTTTAGATATATGAAAATGTTGATAGAAATGTTATTTGTAGGGGCTAGAGAGAGAGTACAGCTGGTAGGCGCTTGACTTGCAAGACCAGGACTGGTGTTTGGTCCCGGGCACCCCATGATCGTCCCCTAAACCCTGCCAAGAATGATCTCTGAGTGCAGAGCCAGGATAAGTCCTGAGCACAGCCAGGTATGCTCCCCCCCGCCCCGCCCAAAAACAGTTATAATACTGAAAATTAGGAAACAGGTCTTGAGATGAAAAGTGGAGCTATCAAAGAGGATGTAGACTAAAGTGGAGTACAGAGTTCTATGCTGTCTTCACTGGCCTCTGAGCTGCCTGGATGGGGCTGAACAGTGAAGGGGTTAAGTTGCTGAGATTGAGTCCTTACCCTCTTCTGGTGGACCTAGGCGCTACAGCTTGTCTCTTCCTTGAACGTTTAGAGAGATCATTCTTCCACTGAGTAGACATGCTGAGCTGCCAAGGCTGGCTTTTGATTGCTATTTGTTATCTTATTTTTAGACGTTTCTCTTGGGAAGTTGTGCCTCTGACAGGAATATAGTATTGTATGACATGAGGCAAGCTACTCCTCTGAAAAAGGTGAGTTTCCATTTATCTTCGGCTTTGAACATAACCATTGTCGATGTGTTCCTCCGTGAGTCAGGTGACTGGAATGTGTAACACATGTTTTTATGTTTTTTTTTTTATAGGATTAATACATCTTTTTCATAGAGATTTCCTTTTACCCAAAGCGATTGTCATCGCAGGCACCCTGCTTCCTTTTGTTTTTTTTCTGAAGATCCTTAAATTTCCTCCCGGTCCTCTCTGTGCCTTTGTGCCTTTAATACTGGCAGGACTGAAAGTGCATAATGAGGAAGTACGTATTACCATGATTCAGACTGTGTGATTATCATGACTTGGGTGGTACTTGGTTCCAGCAGATTTTATAACTAATTGACACAGGCAGCTGTGTTTATTGAGTTATTTGCTGATGGGCCCTAGTTTGACGCTTTGTTTTGTTTAGACAAGGACTGTTCAGGGGAACAGATTTCCCAACAGTCTAAGGTAGTCACTCCAGTATTTAGTTATGAAAGCTTGTTGCTGGTTTGTGGGTTTTTTTGCTTTGTTGTTGTGGTTTTATTTTTTAATTTAAATTCTGCCCCATACCCAGTGGTGCTCGGGCGCTGTTTCTGGCTCTGTTCTCGGGTCACTCCTGGGAGCTACATGGTGCCAGGGATGGACCCTGGGCCTGTAGGAGGAGACGTGTGTGGGCTTGCCAGACCTGCTCATGTGGCCTGTGAGGTGGGCGAGAACAGTCTGTACCCAGTGAGAGGAGCTGGGAGACTGGGACGGGGACCCCGCGCGGACCAGCCATGGGCCTGGACTCTAGGGCCTGGGCCTGGACTCTAGGGCCATGGGCCACCAGAGGAAACATTCCTCGGATCCTTTTTAAATGGCCAGATCACTTTATGACACACCGTATGTTCACAGGTAGTAGAAGGGAATGTATTCATTGGAGGCTGATCGCAGGAAATAGGATCGTCTTTTCAGAGCATCCTTGTATCATTTCAAAAAACATAGGCATGTCTGTGGCTTTCAAGTTCCTCCAAAATCTGTTCCACGCTTATTTTCCATTTATTTATTTGTTTTCAGTCAGTAAAGAGCATTTAATTTGATTGTCACATGCCAGTCACCTTGGATACAAAAGAAAAGATGTTCTTTTCTTTTACTCCTGTGGGTTTGTTTTGTTTGTGGTGCTCCCCCAGCAGTGCTCTGGGGCTACTCCCGACTTCATGTTCAGGGGTCGCTCCCCGTGCTGCTGGGGGTGGAATCAGCGTTCTGGATGCAAAGCATGTGCTCCAGCCCTTTGTGCTATCTCCTGGCCCCTGTTTTCTGCTTTATGAATCTGTTTTCCATCTTTTCTCTGAATTTTTGTTTTTGGGCCACATCCAGGGCTCCTCAGGGGGTTGCTCCTGGCTTTGCACTCAGGAATCTTTCCTGGTAGTGCTTGAACAAGCAAGTGGGGTGCTGGGGATCAAACCCAGGTTGTCCACCTGCAAGGCAAGCGCCCTACCCACTGTACTCTCTGTCTAGCCCATCTTTTTCTCTCTTAAATGTAATAGTGTTCAATCTCTTAGCATTGTATTTCTCCACCAGGTGATTTTTTTTTTTTTACATGTGGGCTGGAAGTCTGAAAGGCTGAGCCTGGTGCATAGACAGTCACACAGAACAAAGGTTGTCTTACCTAAAATGCCAGGAGCGATCCTGCTGCAGAACATTATAATAATTCCTCACAGGTCAGCTGGCATCATACCTGATCTCTTATCATGCAGGTAGGATGATAAAAGAAAGGTCAGCGTGAGGGGCCGAGTTGGTAGCAAAGGTGGCCCAAAAGGTCAGGTACTCACCTTGCATATGGCCAGCCTCGGCTTCATCTCTAGCACTGCTGAGGGTCCCCAAGTACCACCAGATGTATCCTGCCATTCATTCAGTTAACCCAGCCCCATAAAAAAAAGGTGTAACAGCCTAATTTAATCATGACTTACAATAAAAATAAATCCTGCAACAAAAATTAGTGTTTGTATTATTTATTGAACCGTTGCCAGATAGACTCATGGCTGCTTCTGTTTACTGTTTATTCATTTATTTGTTCGTATAACTCTTGGGGATTGAGCCCAGGCCTTGCACCTGTGGAGCAGGTGCCATTGAGTGCTATCCCTGGTCTCATAGATGTGTTTGGTAGAATCAAGTTTGGTGTTTCACTAACAAAAAATTAAAATAAATAAATGAAGAGCTTTGTGGCCTGAACCAGATGTCTCAGCGGATGTTTTGCACTGGACCAGATGTCCAGTAACCTTTGAAATTTTCCTCCACTTTAACCCTAAGTTCACCATTAAATTGAACCTCAGTTCAATAGTTAATAATTTGCGGCTTAGTTGTGTTCTATTAACATGTCAGTGTGTCTCAGTTTTCTAAATTAGTCATGTTGTATTTGTATCACATGCATATACGCTACAAAGGACCATGTATTAGGCTTTTTAATAATTTTTATGTTTACTACCCTTTGTATTCAGGAAATGGTAATAATTGATTTCTTTTTGCAGCGAGTTGAGCTACTTATCATATATGTGCTCAATTCAGTGAAAAAAAGAAGGAAAGGAAATTAAATGGGAGGTATGTGTGTTTTCAAGGAAATTAATTTTAGGAGATGGATTTACATAGTCTTCCTCTTTCAGGTCATCTTAGATATGAGAACAAATACAATCTGTTGGAACCCTATGGAAGCTTTTGTTTTCACTGCGGCAAATGAAGATTACAAGTATGTTGGCTTCTTTTCAAACTTTTTTTTCAATTTAAGAAATATTTCAGTTGCCAGAGTCTCAACTAATGAGATGTTTCCCTAAGTAGTAATAGTCCTTCATGTGTAAGTTAGAAAACTGCCATTCATCTTGCTGAAATAATTGTTTCCCAAATTAGAGAACTTTTTCGTGAATGTCTGCTCAGTTTTCAAACTGCCACAGACCAGGGACAGTCAGCTACCACCTTTGCCCCACATCTGGCCAGCAGCAAGCTTCAGGAACCTGGGGAGGGCTCCGTGGCTAAGGCAGGAGTTTTGAGCGTCTCATGCACCCAGCGCCATCCTAGCAGCACTGAGTTGGGGATCCCCAGCACCACAGGGGAGTGTGGGAGCTTCTGAGCACCATGGCCAGGTGTGTGTAAGCACCACAGCTAAAGTAGGCATCTACAGCGGCCAGTTACAGGGCCCGAGTGAGTACCACGACCAGGTGTGCATAGCACCCCCATCCCCTGAGGCCTTGCAACAGCACCACAGCAACAAAAAAGGCAGGAAAGGGGAATAGAAAATGGGGGCCTGGAGGGATAGCTCAAGGGGTTCAGTCACTGACCTTTGCTGGCCCCTGACCACTGCCAGGTGTAGCCTCAAACCCTGTATTTTCTCGCCTCAAGAAAAACTTCACATCGGAGTAGGGCCACCCACAGTACTATGTTGGTCCAGTCTACTTTGTTTTCTGCTTTGATACCTTTGGACCTAATAATTCTACTTGTGGGAACCTGTCCTGATTTCATGGAATCTTAAGTATTCAAATGCTGGACTCTTTAAGAAATGTTTATAGGTCAGGGATGGGATTCAGTAGTATAACACTGCCTCATTTCTGTTCCTGGCACTGCACAACAATTTGAAAAGGAATTATATATAATATTAAGAAGTTGGAAATTTTCAAAAGTAATTTAATTTGTATTTAAATATGGACCATTAACATATTTTAGAGACCATTAACATATTTTTAGAGACCATTAACATATTTTTGGAGACTAGTGGGTAAATGTTTATAAGCTATATGGAGTATCAGCAGTGTATAGAGCTTTAAACAGTTTTATTAAATATTATTTTTTAAAAATAGGATGGTGAGTGCTGGAGCGATAGCACAGCGGGTAGGGCATTTGCCTTGCACGCAGCCAACATGGCCGACCCAGGTTCGATTCCCAGCATCCCATATGGTTTCCTCAGCACCGCCAGGAGTAATTCCTGAGTGCATGAGCCAGGAGTAACCCCTGAGCATCGCCGGGTGTGACCCAAAAAACATAAATAAATAAATAAATAAATAAATAAAACTTTTAGAAAAAATAGGATGGTGAGATTAGAAAGGATCTCAATGTACTCACTGATTTTTCTGGGTGGTTCAATTAAGGCAAGAAATTTCATGTTTTATGCTTTTTCAAAGTTCCATATACTCTCCAAGCAGATTTCTATTTGGTTAGAGGAAAGCATGCAGATGTCACTGTAAGAAATAATCAAAGCCATTGATCCTTTTGCCCTTTACTTCCCAGAGTCCGCTTAGGCATGCCCTGTTTAGCTCTCAGTCTTCCTTTCACCGGCCTCAGTGCCACACCTGCTTGGTTCTAGAACTGTGTCCACTAACGCCAGCTTCTTTGCAGCCTGTATACCTTTGACATGCGTGCTTTGGATACCCCTATGATGGTCCACATGGACCACGTGTCTGCTGTGCTGGATGTGGATTACTCCCCCACCGGAAAAGACTTCGTGTCTGCAAGTTTTGATAAGTCAATTCGCATCTTTCCTGTGGATAAAAGCCGGAGCAGGTATGTGGCTGCGCTGACTCTTCCTTGCCTTGAACATCAGCATCTTCTTCGTAAAAGGATTGTATAATTCTGTGCGCATGCGTTCATTTAATGTTATATGCGCATGCATTTATGGAATGTGTGGCTAGGAAATCTTAGGGTTTGCCCCAGGGAAGGGTCTTTTATTTGAAGTTCTTTTTAAGTAAACTAGGAAAAAAATACGGACTGTGTTGTTATTTTTTTTTCCCACTAGAAACGGGAAGTTTGTAATGAAATTGAGAGGGAGGAACAGAGGTTTTTCATGTGCCCCCACCCCCAAACCTGCATAGAGTTTCCCATTATCAAGGTCACCACCAGAATGGTACACTCAATTGTATTAATCTCTCTTTCCATAGTGCGCTGTTGGTATTGTACGTTCAGTGGGTTGGAACAGATGCATGATGGCATGTATCCATCGTGATTATATCAAAGTATTTTCATTGCACCAAGATACAGAAAACGTTAAGAAAATTTCAGTCTAACCATGGAGAACTTAGGTTAAGTTTTGCCCTAATAGTTTAAGAGCAGTTAGTAACAGTAATAATGTAGTATGTCGTTTCTTACTTCCTCAAATTCTGTGTAGGGTACCCTGGAAGGGTCAAGAGGTGGGAAACTTAGGCCATCCTGCCCTCCTCATCCTGTCCTCTTAACAGATAAAGTGTGATCCTCGCACTGAAATCAGTGTTGGTACAGCCTCTTCCTCTTCCTCTTCTCTGTTACAAGTCACTGACAGTAGTGTGTGCTGTTGGAGTCTATGTATATTACTGTATTAGGGTAGTTCATAGACAGCTATAGCTTTTTCATGGTTTTCAAGGACCATTTTTAATTTACTTTGTGGTCAGACCCAGAGGTTCTCATGGCTTTACTCCTGGCTCTGTGCCTTGAGGTCACTCCTAGCAGTGCTCTGTGGACCTCTATAAGGGGTCCTGGGGACAACTCAGGCGTGCTGTGTGCAGGACAAGCGATGAGCCTGCAGTCGTGTCTCTTCACCCCTTCCAGGGTGATTTTGACAGCACTTGACTTCTCTGCTCTGCTGGCTGACTTGAAGCTCTGACTCTGACTCATCTGCTTTCTGCCTGAGCAGTCGGGTGAGGGGAGAATCAGCACAGAACCCGAGTATGAATGGCAGGAGTTCCTCATCTGCAGGGTTCTGCCAGTGCCTGCCCTGCGTCCTCACGGCCCTGATCCCCGCCCTGTGTTCAGAAAGTGTCGTTTCTTACTTCCTCAAATTCTGTGTAGGGTACCCTGGAAGGGTCAAGAGGTGGGAAACTTAGGCCATCCTACCCTCCTCAGGAGCTCCGAGGTGGACCAGCAGCTGGCCCAGCCATCTTGTGCTCATTGCCAACATGCTTGTCTGAATTTTTTGGAAATTTGATTTGTGATGGTTGCATCCTATTTCCTCAGATTTGAAGAAGCCGTATAGGTGTTGAAACCCCCTGGTGTCATCATTGTGTGTCCTATTGTAAAGGTGTTGGAGGGCCTGGAGAGATAGTATAGAGGTTAAGGTGGCTGCAGCTATGAACCTGGTCCAGGTCCCTGGCACCACATAGGGGCCCCTTGGCACTGCTGGACATAGCCCCCAACATAGATATTCTGCAGGGGGGCCAAGGAGAAGGCTTTGAGGAGAGGAACATGTGCTTTGCAGGAGTGCGGCCCTGAGTCCGAGCACTGTGCAGCTCCCTAGTTACCTTTGGTCAAAGCGCTGAACCACCAGGCAGAGATCCCAGAATTGGGCTCCAGGTCCTTGAGCACCCGTGGGAAGCCCCTATTCAAACAGGAAAATGCGCACTGCTGGTGCACTTCTGCCACACTGATCTTCGAGCCATGGTCCCCGCCGTTGTAGAACTGCTGTGGCTTCCCAGCTAGCTGCTGCTTCCTGAGTAACTCAGTGTCATCCAAACTGCCATTGAGTGGTTTGTTGGGATTGTTCGTTCAGGCCCAATGCAAGACTGATACTTTATTTCTCTCATGTCTCCAGAGGATATTAAGAATTGAGCATGTGGGCCTCCATCATTTCGTTTGCACCAGACCTTGGCCTTCATCTGCTGGGAGGGGGAGCTCCTAAGTGTTGGGTACTCAGGGGGCCTGGAGGCTGCTCCCTGGATTCTTGGCTTATCAGTCTGGACACTCACAGATGGCGTCAAGGATGTGCTGCAGACCACCAGGGCAGTGCTCAGGGGGCTCCCCCAGGATGAGTGGGGGGCGTGGCCAGGGGGTATGCAGTCTTGGAACCGAATCCTGATCCTGCGCGCTTGCTTCCTGACCCCAGCGTTATCTCCGTGGTGACCTCCCCTCAAAAGCTAGCTTCACCTGTTTCTGTGGCTGCTTTTGTTCCTGTCATTGTAAGCATCCAAAAACACAGCAGGGCTTTGAATACCCTGTATTTTAACAACATTTTTTCTTTGAAAGTCCTGAAAACAGCTATGTATATTTTAAAACAGACTTCGAGTAGTTTTTTTTAAACCACATATAAGCCATATTTGAGAGTAAGCTTGTTTATTGCAGTTTCATTCAGTATATACTAAGCAAATAAATCCTTTGAACTCCCATGGAATCATTTATCTTGACCCTGCACATAAAGACTTTTAAAAAGGGCATTCGTCTCCTAATAGAGTGACTTACCAGTGTATCTAGAAGCTCAACATTCTGTGTGGACAGCAAGGAGGAACTCTAGGTGGTTAAACGACTGCCCGTGGGGCTTGAGTGGTCTAAGACCCCAGTGGGTGCCGATTGAATTCCCTGCATTTACATTCATCATCCTATTGTGCTGGGGGAAATGAGCCCATAGATCAGTAGAGATGGGAAGACTGGAGCAGTGAAAGCTGAGCATTGAGAAGAAAAGCAGCCATATGGCTCACCTCGCTTTCAACTTGCTCACTTGACCCCTGTCCCCTGGGGCATTGGCTGGGGCGCTGCATCTGTTGGAGCCCAGGAGAGCTGTTAGAGAGGGTTGCAGCTGGCTTCAGTCGTGTAGGTGGCGGAGACCTGGCTGGGCTTCCTGCCTCTCTCCCAACACTCCGTGCAATGCAGTCAAGCTGCGCGGGGAAGCTGGTTTCTCCAGCATTCTGTGTTTTATTTTCTCTGACCTTGTCTTTTGAATGCTCTTCTTAACACTTCCCAATATGGTATCTCCTGTGACTTCACTTAGCATGTTTCACAGTCTCTTCAAGGAGGAAAGATACTTGACATCTGCCTTTATTAAATGGTTCTGACCGCATGTCCTCAGGCACTTCTTAGCTCTCCTTTCCTTTTCACACGTGTGCACCGTCAACTTTGGACTCAGTCAACTGTTTTAAATAATTTGACCAGGACAGAACTTATTGCATTTACGTTTTTTTATCCCTTCCTGTAATAACAAGGGGAACATTGTTGATCTGAATTGATTTGAAGGGACTTGTTTAAAAGGATCCATTTCAGGCCCAGAAAGATGGCGTTGATGCAGTAAGTCCAGTTTGTGCCTTGATGTCACATGGTCTCCTGAGCACCGCCAGGAGAGCACTGCTAGGTATGACTCGAAATTATGACACCAAAGACCAGAGAGTCCAGGAGGAAAGGCTTTTGCCAGCCTAGGTTCACTCACAGCACTGCATAGCTGCCCTCATGTGCTCAAGAGTGATCCCTGGGCACCACAAGGTGACTCAGAAACAAAGAAATTTGTTCATTTTTGGTTTGTTTTTATGGATGCAGAATTAGTCCGGCTAACCTTGCTTTTTGTTTGGTTTTGGTGTGGGGGCACACCCAGAGGTGCTAAGGCTTATTCCTGGCTCTGCTCAGGGATCACTGTGGTAGGGCTAATGGGCTCCATGAGTGGTACTGGGAATCAGTCGAACGCAGGTCAGACATGTGCCAGGCAGGCACCCCACCTGCTCTACTAGCTCCCCAGCTAACTAGGATCTTTTTTGTTAAATGTTTTTGTTTTGTGAGACTTTGTGGGATTCTCAATTGACTGAAATGATTTTTCTTTTTAGACTATAACTGAGGCTGACTTTTTTTTTAAGTTCCCAGTATCTAAACATAGAACTTGTGAGTTTGATTTAGTAAGACTACATGAAAACAAATTTGCATTTCCTTTTTGTACTCTGTGAACACTCAAAATTGTTATCTTGGTACTTGACAGAGAGATGTGAAAGAAAGTCCGTACCAAATCCTAAGGGATTTGACGTGGTTCCTTTTCATTTTAAATTAAAAATTTCTTTTCAAGTTTTGGCACTGTGGTTTCCAGCACTGTTCCTGACAGGGCTTCATGCATGTGACTTCTGAGTATGCTCTGCACCTCTGTGTCCAGTGTCTTCCCCTTCCCTGCCTGGGTATCAGGCGCCACATAGGAGAGGGGTCATTGTGTATCTGTCTGTTCTCGTTCCATAGGGAAGTCTATCACACAAAGCGAATGCAGCATGTCATCTGTGTCAAGTGGACCTCCGACAGCAAGTACATCATGTGCGGCTCTGACGAGATGAACATTCGCCTATGGAAAGCCAATGCTTCGGAAAAATTGGGTGTGGTAAGAGACCCCTTCATTTTCATAAAGCGATTTCAAATTTTGCTGGGGATTGTAAAGAAGTTATTTCAGGGCCTCTAAGGTATCCAGAGCCAGGTAGCAGTGAAGCAGATCAGGCTGTACTGAGATATTTTCTTCCTGCCTGAGGCCCCCTTGGTGAATGCAGACTTTTGCAGATATTTGAGCCTTCTTGAGCGTGTTTTCCTTACAGTGGGGTCAGCGCAGGGATCAGGCCTGTTCTTCTGCTAAGGGGATAGAAATCAGGCCGGTCAAAGACAGCGCATCGCCGAGTGGTCTCTGAGCATCACAGACACCGGGAAGCTGGTTTTAAAAAGGCCGTGTGGGTTTCTTAAGACCCATTTCCAGTGGGTGGGTGCAGTGATGGCTGGAATGTTTTCCACAGCACCCACAGCAGTGCTGGATGCTCCCTGGGTGCTGGAAAAGCCAGCAGTGATCCTGTGCTTTTGGCCCACCCACTACACATCAGAAGACCCATTTCCAGTGGGTGGGTGCAGTGATGGCTGGAATGTTTTCCACAGCACCCACAGCAGTGCTGGATGCTCCCCGGGTGCTGGAAAAGCCAGCAGTGTACCTGTGCTTTTGGCCCACCCACTACACATCAGAAGGTTTGGAAACCTGCTGTTCTGGTTTGAAACACTCATTGCAAACCCAGGTTGTGTTTCCACATACTTTCTTTTACTTTTTTATTTTGGGATCTCTTCCAGAGGTGCTCAGGATTTACTCCTTGCTCAGGAATCACTCGCGGTGGGCATCAGGGGGACCATCTGGGGTGTTGGGGGTCAAATCTGAGTCAGCTGTGTGCAGGGCAGACACCCTACCCGCTGTATTATCTCCTGGACTCCAGGACTTCTGACTACCGCACTGAGTCAGCCCTGCCTTAAGCTTAGTAAATTTGCTGTGTAGCCAGTTCAGTAAACTCAAACACCATCAAACACTGTGGCTGCTCAAAAGGGTTCAGCTCATGGAAGAGATGCTGGGGGCAAGGTATGTGTGTGCAGTGTGGCGGCGGAGGGGGGGGGGCGGGGAAGCATAAGGAGCTTCCCTGTTCTCTCCAGGTGCACTTTGGGCCTAAACGCCCACAGCCTCATCACAGGGGCATGGTGGAGTCCTTGTTTGTCAGTCAGCAGTCACTTTCATCTCTAGCCCACTTCCCTCTAGGAGGCGGCATCTGTCTGTCTGTCTCTGTGTCTGTGTGTCTGCTGCACTGTTGTGTGTATGTCCTCTAGGAAAGTGTACATCTATTTGTGTACCACACTCTGTGTGTGTGTGTGTGTGTGTGTGTGTGTGTGTGTGTGTGACATTCTAGACTTCACAAGGCTCAGGGACCCCCACACACTGTCAAGGACAAGTCAGGCCTGGCTGTGAAGGACAGTTCGTTTTCATTTCCTCCTGGATGTTTTTCTAAGTGTCTAGCTTTTTTTACATGAAACATATGGAGTGTTGTTTTTTTTTTTTTTTAACAGAAACGGATACTTATTTTAAGAAGGAAAGGATAGTGTGTGAGAGTTATTTTCTACTTATCTCCAGTAAGGAAACCAAGATAAAATAGACAGTAATTGAGGTCGCTTCTATTTCTGATTCATGCCTGGCTTTCGTATCACCACAAGAATGGCCTTTAATCTGGTGTCCTTTCAGCGTTGGTTAAATGCTGGTTATTACGGAATCAAATGCTTTCTCTCCTGTTAGAGTTATTTTGCAGAGCAACAATGTGAAGAGAGTACAGTGGGGAAAGCTTACATTTCACATGGCTGACCCGAGTCTGATCTCGGGCACTGCATAGGGATCCCAGGGACCCCCAGGGGTGATCCCTTAGCACAGAGCCAGGAGTAAGACCTGACTGAGCACCGCCACGTGTGGCCCAAATTGCCCCCCTTTGCAGCCCTTACACACACACACACACACACACACAAAATGTGAGTGTGACACAGTACATTGCTGTGTTCCTTGGGCCTGGTGCAGGTGCCCGTGATCTGCACCATGCATGCCCAGCCCAGCCACTTTCACCAGCTTCTGGCCATGATAGCGTGTAGCTCACAAGGGAATGCTGAATGCAAGGAAAGGGAAGGAGAGGCTGCTTGGCCATTGGCAACCTCTCACAAGACTGTCAGGAAAAGGATTCTTGCTGTGTAAGAGGAAAACAAAGATCATTACATGCTTGAAATTTCAAAATGCCTCTTTTTCTCCCCCCCCCCCCCCCCCCCGCCCAGCTCACGTCACGAGAAAAAGCAGCCATAGATTATAACCAGAAGCTGAAGGAGAAATTCCAACACTATCCTCAAATAAAACGAATAGCTCGGCACCGACATCTCCCCAAGTCCATCTACAGCCAGATCCAGGAGCAGCGGGTGATGAAGGAGGCCCGGCGCAGGAAGTACGTGGGGCCTGCCTTTCCCCTCCCACCCCCCACCCTGCAAAACCAGGCTCTCTGCCCTGAACGAGCAGTGCATGGCGCTCTGGTTTCTTTGAAACGTTTTTGAGCTTCTTTCTTTTTCTTGGTCAAAGCGGGATCATCTGATATTGTGGAAATTTCCATTACTTGTTTTTTATTCAGTTTTACTTATTTTGAGACGGTTTTAGTGGACAAGTCGTGGGAATGAATTGAATGAAAACAAGGAAATGTTTCTGCTCCTTCTTTTAAAAAAATGTGAATAAATGTTTGAGAAATACTTTTTAGAATAGCAGAGCATTCTAGAAACTCTCCAGTTAGCTGGGCTCAGTAAACACATGTGAGGCCCTAGCTTAGTTCTCAGCATTGTTTGGCCCCGGCACTGCTGGAAGCAATTCCCAAGTACCAGTGGGTTACGGCCCAAAAGCCAAGATAAAAGATTTCTAATGTAAGCTCTAATGAAGAGACATCCCACCAACCCAACCCAACCCCCACTCGTTAAAGAATGCAAAGAGTTCAGTTATTAGACCTTTTCATCTTCCTCTCGATCGTAACCTCGGGGTCTGAAGCAGAATATCACTGCTTCGTTTCTGGGGGTTAGTCACGTCTCTCTTGGAACCTGTGGGTTCTTGGATTCTTGCAAAGTGTTCTCAGAACTCTTAAGACAGCTCTTTTCGCTTCTTTTTTTAACTGGACCATACAAATGATTATTTTAGTGTCTTTGGATAGGTTTGGGGTTTGAATCCTTAGTATTTAAAAGAAATGGAGAGATTAGACTAATGGTTTTCAGCTCTCTTTCACGCCTGCGAACCAGCACCTATCTGCAGACTGGCAGTCAGCAACTCTGCAGTAGACTGTGGTGCGACTTTTTGAGTCTATAGACTGAGTGGCCCAGAGCTCAAAAGTCACTGTGCTTTCAATTCTCTTACTTAAGGACACGGCATACTAAGAGGCAGTTAGCCAAAGTTGATGTCATGCAAGTGTTTACCTATTCTTACATGAAACCTTTCTCTGTCCACCTCCTATAGATGGTTTTCCAGTCCAAGAAAATAGGGTTGTTCTGAGATTTTTTTAACCACCTTATGTTAAGATGGCTTCTCATAAACTTACTTATGTTTTGTGTATTTCCTTATTCCCAGGGAGGTGAATCGCCGCAAACATAGCAAGCCTGGGTCAGTGCCGTTTGTGTCGGAGAAGAAGAAGCACGTGGTGGCAGTGGTGAAATAAGACAGTGTTCCCGTCTGCGACCGTGTCTAATTGTTGGTGTTTATTGGTACAGAAGCTCTACAGATAAGAGTGCCATTGTATCTAGAACTTCACTGCAGCTCAGTTTAGCCACCCTGAACTCCTTAGGAGATGTGGGCTGTTCCCAACTTGTTCCCCTCGGTTTGCTTTCTTATTTCACTGAAGAATGCCGTATTTCGCTAGCTCAGTTTTGGCTGTTAGAAATTGCAGAGTGGACCTGACATAGTCTACGGGAGCCACATGGCCATGAATTAATCCACGAGTCCCATGATGTGCCAGGCATGATCCCGACAGCTCCGGTCTCTGCACTCACCCATGTTGCAAGCCATTTCCGGCCACTTCACAGCTGGGCACATGTGAACACCATGTTAAGGGACATGACCTTGGCCAGTACCACAATTGAAAAACTTGGAAGTGCTCTATAGATAGGAAGTGCTCCCGCCATAGCTCGGGGAGGACCATCACCCTAGCACATGTGCCTCATTGAAGAGTAAACCTTGGTGTACACCGTGGTGGAGGTCCAACACCACAGCAGAAAACGGGGCATATCGCAGCCTCATCTTGTGCCATCAGCAAAACAACAGCAATCATTAGGGAAGGAAGGGCAAGAGGGGAGGCAGTGAGCGGTAAATCATAGGCGCACTTTCTCCCAACCTGTTAGTGAGGCCTCTGTTCTTGAATTTACATTTCGGAGTATATGTTCGATTCTCTTTAACGTTTCTCCAAATGCTTGTCACCATGACTCTTCTTGTAAGTAATTGCCTATAACATGTAGAGAAGAATTATGCCGGGACTTCTGTTAATTGAATTTGTTTCCCAGGGTTATTGATATCTTTGTCTTTGAGCAAAAGGATCAGCCTCTCTTTGTATATCTTTTATAACTATAACTATTCATTATAATTTATGGTCAAGATAATAAACCATCCTTTTTCTTAGCATTTGTAACTCGGATCTGTTTCTACTTAAAGACTTCTTTTTCATCCTAACTAATTCATAAATAGTTCTGTGTAGACAGGAGTTTTGAATTTTATTGCATTACCTTAATAAACTCATAAGCCCGTATTTTAGGAAATTTTAAGTAAAGAGATTTATTGTAGTAAAAATGTTAAGGAAGGCACAGGGATGATCAAGATTGGGGAGGGAGAGGGAGGAGAGGCATACAGGAGACTTGTGCAAAGGTTTGTTTTCTTTTGGGGGGGGGGGACTTTGTTGGTGCTGGGACAAACAGGACCATACCCAGCTATGCTTGGGGACAAGGTGGAGATGTTGGGGCTTGAACCCATGCTCATTTCTTGAAATGCATGTTTATTATTTATGTGTGTATGTGACACACACACACGCATATACATAAAATATGGGCTGGAGCGATAGCATAGCAGGTACGGCATTTGCCTTACACACAACCGACCTGAGTTCGGTTGTTCTGTCTCAGAGAGCCCGGCAAGCTACCTAGAGTATCCTACCCGCACAGCAGAGCCTGGCAAGCTACCTTGATGTATTCAATTTGCCAAAAACAATAACAAGTCTCACAATGGAGGCATTACTGGTGCCCGCTTGAGCAAATCAATGAACAACAGGAGGACAGTGCTGCAGTACAGTGCTATATATATATAATATATATATATATATATATATATATATATATTCTGTCCCTGCTTTTTTTGGTATCTTATAGACTCCATTCTTACAGGCCAAGAAAAGATCAACCATCTACCTGTTTAAAAATTATTGTTATCCAAGAATAGCTGAGATCAGCACCAGAAGGATTACTCCATAACTTAGTGGCCAGCCGGGCATTCTAGAGGAAAGGGCAGCTCAGATAGAGAAGGGAGCACCAAATAAAGGATGTTTGGAGGATCCTCCCAGGAGGGGAGATGCATGTCGAAAGTAGACTATGGACTGAACATGATTGCCACTCAATGCCTCTTTTGCAGACCACGACACCCAAAAGGAGAGAGAACACAGGGGATTGCCCTGCCACAGAGGCAGGGGGGATGGGGGTGGGGGGGATATTACCCATGGTGGTGGAAAATGGGCACTGGTGAAGGGATGGGTATCTGATCATTGTATAATCGAAACCCAAGCACAAAAAATTGTAAACCTACAACTGTACCTCATAGTGTTTCACTAATAAAAAAAATTTTTTTTAATTATTGTTATAGGGGCTGGAGTGATAGCACAGTGGGTAGGGTGTGTGCCATGCATGTGGCTGACCCGGGTTTGATTCCCAGCATCCCATATGGTCCCCTGAGCACCACCAGGAGTAATTCCTGTGCGCAGAGCCAGGAGTAACCCCTGTGCATCGCCAGGTGTGACCCAAAAAGTAAATATATATATATATATACATATATATATATATTTAGATGGCTGGAGAAATAGTGTTTGGTTATCATGCAGTCAACCTGGGTTCAGTCCCCAGTACCCCATATGGGCCATGGAGCCCCACTATGTGTGATTCCTGAGCATCGCCAGCTGTGACCCCAAAGCTGAAATAATTATCGGGGCCAGAGAGATAGATAATACATCAGATAGGGCGCTGACCTTGCATAAGGCTAACCTGGATTTGATCCCTGGCACTTGGTGTGGTCCCTTGAGCCTCACCAGGAGTAATCCTGTAATTCTGAGTGCAGAGCCAGAACCTCAAGGGACTGATCACAATCAAGGGATGGAGGGTGTTAGGGCAGTCAGTTGTATGAGAGAGAGCACACAGAAGTGGGCAGACTAGACTTGCTCTGTACTGGAAATTTCATACCCGTGACCAAGAGAGGGAAGGAAGGAGAAGGAAACACCTTAAACTTGAGTTCTAAGCAAGCTTGAACCACACCTAGGAGAGATCCTTGAGTCAAACTCACTTTAGAGAAGCACTGAGCAGAGAATGCACCCCTGTAGTCAGGTGTCTGCTCAGCCCCTAATCCAGCCAGTGTGTGGGCCCTTCCTCCACTGCCCATTCCCTCCAAGGAGATCTAAGGGACACATTTGTGGACAGGCACAATTACCACTTCCTTATCCATTGTACAGTTTCCTGACCACTCCTAGGTTGGAAGACTCAGATCGAGGAAATGCTACACAGTAATTTTGGTCTTATTTTGACTCGATGTAAGTGAAAAACATTTAATTTAAAAACTGCAATATATGTCAGCCTTTTATTTTGAGGGGAATGGGGGGGACATGTGCTCAGAGGTCACTCCTGGTAGTGCTCAGGAGACCATATATGGTGCCAGGAATCAGACCAGTGTTGGCTGCCCTCAAGGTAAATGCTTTAACTGTTCAACCCCATCCTATCTCTGTGACATAAGTGTCACAGAATTGCAAGTGCCCAAGGCAAGAGAAAGGAGTGGCACCCCACATGGCACTGGACACTGAGTGGGTGCTGTAGGGACCTAGAATAAAACCCAGACAGTTGTTCAGAGCATTTCCTGGTGGTGTGAGCTAAACGCTGCCTTGGGTTTGATTAGGGCACCACAATATCCCCTCAGCATGACTGGGAGTGGCCCTTGAGTACCCCCAGGAGTAACCCTAAAAATCAAAGATTTAAACAAGTGAGTCTTTTGGATCTGGAGATATGACTCAGCAGTAGCCCACAATATGCATTGCATGTGTGGCCCTTGGGTTCAATGCAAGCACCACCCAATCAAAAAAGAATATTTGCTGATGATTTTAGTTAATGTTATTTTTATGACTTAACCCTTTTCTCCTCTTTCTGTCTTCCTCAAGTCTGGCAACAAAGACTGTACTAAAGGAGAGCACCTTCTTAAAATAGAGTTTGTACAGCAAGCCCATAAATGTCAACAATATTATAAACACATTACCTTCACTATGGTAAGTTAAAAATATGGTCCCCTGAGTGCAGAGCCAGGAGTAAGCCCTGTGTGCAGCAGGGTATGCCCCCCCCCCATTTTTTCTCATTTTTCTTGAAATATTAAAAAAATACTGTTCCTAGCTTGATGTGCATCATCACACACACTATAGACATGTGCATGATAAAATGCATGCTAGTCGCTGTGTTTTATATTTTTTACATGAGTAACATACATCTTTCTCAGTTTTTGATGATGCTAACAAAGTTTATTAAAAATTAAGTTAATTTAAAATCAAGCCATTAAACTCTATCATAATGATGAAAATCACCAGAATGAAGAGATACTGAAGTTATTTTTTGTCGTCTATATCATATCACAGTTGAAATGAGTTTATTGAAATTACGGATTCAAATAATAAGTTTACAGCCATACTCAGATGTAAAAGGCAAATAGAGGCAAACCCGTGTCACAAACACAATTCCAATTTTACTGCTTTGCAGAGGGTGGCAGGGAGGGTCATCACCCTAACCTAATGTGCTTCTGAAGGATGAGAGTGTGTAGATAGAAATAGAGTTGTTGTTGGTTTCTTTTAAAGGCTGCATCCAGGGGTCACAGCTCCCCTGATTGTTTCTCAGCACCCATATGATCAACCTCCCCACCCCTAGATCACCACCTGATCACCACCTGGAGTAAGCCCTGAGCGCAGGTGCTTGTAGCCTGAAAACAAAAGAAATAGAACCTAGGTTTGCCTGGGAAGTAGCCCTGAGGTTAAGGTGCATGTTTTGCATTTAGCAGACCTGGATTCAGTCCCAGCATCATGTCCCCTGGACATCAGCTGGTGCTGCTTGGAGCCCCCTCAAGCACCACCGTGGGTAGGGCGCTGAGAATCCTTAGTGAGAGCATTCAACTACCATCCAGTTGGCCCAGAATATCCAGCACGGCTCCCGGGACCCCCTCCAGGGAACCACAGAACCCAGTTTCCCTCTGCCCCATTTCTGTTTAACCATGGCAGGCTTGGGAGGAGGATCTGGGCAGTTTCTGCTTAGTGAAGGGAGTTGGGGATGGGTAGGAAAACCCCAGATCTCTTCTGAGGCTGGTGTAGGCAAGTAGACAGGGAAGCCCATGGCAATGGAATTCCTTAGAAGTAATAAATCCTTAGATAGCCTTAAGGCTATCAGGGCCTTACAAGGCAGCTGCTGTGAGCACAGGAACCTGATAAGACTCCCGGGGGCGCCAGCAACAGACCCAGAGAAGGCTGTGCTGGAAGAAGCTCCAGCAGGAACAAAAGGCCAGGACAGGAATTTCGAAGACCATGGGCCATTCCCAGCTCTACCCCCTTGGCAACCTCCCTAGCAACGTGCTTGTACCTAGGTAGAAGCCCCACATGGGGGCAGGTTGGAAAAACCCTAGAAAAGCCGCCTTGGACAAAGGAAGGGCGCACATATGCTGTCTGAACTCATGTGTGCTTGTGTCTGCCTGGCCCAGCACACGTGGCAGCCTAGCACACGTGGCGCCCTGGCATATGTGGCGCCCACATCTCCCCTCTCGAGATGTGGACTTTTCATGCTTTCGTATCTAATGCAGGGGTGTGTGTGTAGGGGCTTCTCCGCCTTTGGAGAAGTTCGCACTCTCTTGAGCACGTTACTCTACTCTTTCCCACTTACTCTCCTTCCTTCCCTTGAAAGCTTCCAAATAAAATCTGTTCTACTTCACTACTTCATCTACTCCTGACATTTTTTTCTGTGAGGCAAGACAAGAACCCCGTAACCCTGGGTCCCAGGTGACGAGACGAATCGGGAGAAAGTGACTGTCTCTCTCCTCCCTGCCTTACCTAAGCCACCGTGGGGCCCACTGACTTCAAGAGCAAAACTCAAACCTGGAGCTTTGGAAGCAGCTTCTTGTTCACTAAGAAGTAAAATCCAGGTAGAAAAGCTTTGAGTAACATCTGAGCTCCCTCCAGCCTCCACCTGGGAAAGCAAAGCTTTCGAGGGGTGCCTGAGAGTACAAAGTAGACAAAAAAAAAAAAAATACAAGTTAGCTGCTTTTCCACCTTTCTTTGTCCCACTTGACTCCAATCTTGCTCCTCTGGCTTTTTGGAGCTCTCATTTTGTTTCTTCTAAGCCTGTGGCAGCTTAGCC